CTAATTATCCCCAAATTGATATTTTTCTTCATTCTCATCACTTATCTGGTTGATGTTGTAAGGAGAAATTCTGTCTTGGTCACTCATGGGAGTTATAGGGTCAAGGACCAGAAGGAAATTATATTGACCAGAGTAACTGGCAACATGTTATCAAGTACCCAGCAGAACTCTGGTGATAGCCAGCTTGTTTTAAAACCCCTGCTGATTGTTAAGATTATTTACAAGGACTTGCTCACCATTGCCATCTCAATTTCTTGCCCTAGATTACAAATATGTTCTAAACCCTGCCACAATTTTTCTTTCTCAGATGACATGCCCCCAGGACAGACTCCACATACTATCATGTTGTTCTCCCACAATGACCTGGTGGATGCAGTACAGCCTGGAGACAGGTACATTGTAAAGAAGCAATTAAGTCATTATGCATAGATTCTTAAAGACAGCCATGTCACAGTATCTCTTGTCATTTTCTGCCCAGAAAATGATTACCCCCTAACTTAAAAGAAATCCTGAAGTACTCTTGTTCGGTAAGGTAGAAATACACAGCCTTGAATGACTTCAGACTGAGTGTTTTAAATTGATAAAAATTGGTAAGTTTCTGAAGAAATTGTGGTGCTGCATTGTTGGGGAGAGGGGGAGGTTGATAATTTAAATTGGCAGTTGTAGAGAGCGCATGAAGTTTTGAGTGTCAACCCTTTGACAGATCAGAGCCTTCTTTTCACTCTGATGAAGGGCTAATGTTTGAAATGTCAGCTTTAGAAACTCTTGGTGAATGTTTTGAAGGTGCACAAACAGTAAAGAAACCTCTACACAAGTATGCCTTGAAATATTGATGTTCTGGTTTACAGCCACAGTTTGAAGTCATTCTTTTAGTTAGTAAATTCACAAGCATGAAGGTAGTGACATGAGGAAATTATTTTACATGCTTGACAATCTTTCAGTGAATATATTTTTGTTACACAATTCCCATGCTTTACCATTGGTCTACAATCTTATTAGGGTCACAGTGACAGGAATTTACCGAGCCACCCCTATGCGTGTGAATCCACGTCAAAGAAATGTGAAAGCTGTTTACAAGACATACATTGATGTGATCCATTTCAAGAAAACAGACAAGAAAAGGCTTTATTCTAAAGACCCTGATGGGTAGGAACTAGTTTAATATGAAAATTATATATCTCACCCTTTAACCGTTTAACGCTCAGAAGTGATTATCATGTAATTTCTCCCTACCATATCCATAAATTATCAAGTAAACGGGTAATAAAAACACTCAAACTTATCAAGTACAAGTTGTTATCTTGATCTAATTCCAATTTTTTATTGCTAAGTTACAAGGAAATGTGTAGCAGCTAGAAGGGAGAATTAACAATCAGATCTTGGGAGTTGGAGGGTTAAGGGTGTCTTGGTTTGAATCTTCTTCCCTTGCCTTCTCTTATGTTGGTTGTTGTTGGATTGTATTTCAGAGTTGTTACATTTTCACAAGAGAGAGTAGAGCAATTACAGCAGTTGTCCAAACAACCTGATATTTATGAGAGACTTGCCAAGGCCCTTGGTAAGTAATAACAGAGTTAATAACTTCTGTCTGATTTTCTTTCCATGTGATGTTGACGAGATGAACATTCATTACATACTCTAATAACACAATGAAACTAATTAATTTTCTAATTTTAATTTTGTAGCCCCAAGCATTTATGAAAATGAAGATATCAAAAAGGGAATTCTCTGTCAGTTGTTTGGAGGAGCAAACAAAGATTTTGCTGACACTGGGAGAGGAAAGTTCAGGTTGGTTCATAGCTTTACCTTGATCTTGCACATTTTGATTCTTCAATAACAAAATTACTTTAAGCAGTTTCAGCAGCACAAAGCAGCAAGTAGTATTACCATTGCCCTTCCTCCCTGGACCAGGTACTATTCCTTTGTAGTGCTACCCACCATTATATATTCTTTTGACTCTTTGGGTCAAGAGAGCCACCATGAGAATGAAATGTTTTCTGTCCTGGTGAGGGGTTGGGCCCAGTCCTTACATTTTCTAGTGCACTGTATCAGGCCAATTTAACCACCATTTCCAACTGTATGTCTATCTACTTGTGTAATTCTAGATCAGAGGTCAACATTCTCCTTTGTGGCGATCCTGGAACAAGCAAGTCTCAGTTGTTACAGGTTGGTATTGAATGGAAAGCACATTCAGAGGGACAAAATTTTAGATCTTTCTTGATTGGCTATTGTTCCACTCTGGCTTATTCCAGGAGATGTAGCACAAACTTACATTTACACTTGCCCTTTGCAATTGGAACTGCTGGTTCTCTAGAGGACTGTTGTTTGCCTTTATGACATAAGAAAACATAACTGTCTCTAAGTTCCAGGCACTGATGGTGTGGAAATCATTTTAAATAGACTGCTGATGAAGGATGTTAAAAGGTAGTAGTTAAAAGGAACAGTGAACTAAACATTTTCATTTTGTGTTTACAGTATGTGCATAACCTTGTTCCTCGTGGTCAGTACACTTCTGGGAAGGGTTCTTCAGCTGTGGGTTTGACTGCGTATGTCACAAGAGACCCAGAGACAAGACAACTGGTACTACAGACGTACGTGCATCAAGTCAAGTTTCTTTTTATCTTATAGCACTTTATTTTACAAGGAAATAGAAATTCCCTGTTTGCTAGGCTAACCCTTTTTAACCTAAGAGTGACCAGTATCTAATTTCTCCTTACAGTAATATTGCTTTATCATTCACTAAGACCATGAAAATAAAGGAAATGATCATGGTTGTTTTAATAAATTCCCCTTGTCAGTACCGAAGGAAATTTTTATAGAAGAGTATGGGGCATATACATACTGATTTTGGGTTTTAAAGGGTAAGGGGCCATTTGAAAGTTGTTTCAAATTATTGCTGCTGTTTTTGGTCGAGTGAATGATTTTGCAGCAGCAGGGAATTTTTTTGTCATTCTATTGTTGTTGCATTTAATGGAATTGATTAAAATTGCTGCTCAGTTAGAGTGACTGTCTTTTTATTTCTAGGGGTGCTCTAGTGTTGAGTGACAACGGCATCTGCTGTATTGATGAGTTTGACAAGATGAATGACAGCACCAGAGCTGTCCTTCATGAAGTCATGGTAAGAGGTTAACAGTGATTTTATAGAAATAAAGTTAAACTAGAGAAACCATACTCCGACTTTACTTTCAAGTTGCTGCAGACTACTTATTTTTATGTAGTGAAATTGAATGGAGGGTGAAGATGATGATTTTGACCCAGGTATACACCAGAAAAAAATTGTAATATATCTAGTTGTACTTATGTACATTTGAATGTGTAATTAAAGGAATTGGAGTGGAAATTAACTTGTTCCTTTTCTTGAAGTTGTAATGAAAAACTAAAAGCTTCAACTCTGATCCATTTCTTTAAGGAACAACAAACTTTGTCAATAGCTAAGGCTGGCATCATATGTCAGTTGAATGCGAGGACATCAATCCTGGCTGCTGCTAATCCAGTGAAATCACAGTGGGATCCCAAGATGACAACAGTTGAAAACATTCAGCTACCTCATACTCTCCTGTCAAGGTATGACAGCTATCAAAAGGCTTGGAACATGTATAGAACTGCAGATTGCAGATATGCTACAAATTTTAAATCTTACCCTCAATATGCATGCTTTCAAACTTGTGGATTATGTGGTGACAAAACATCCACACCCACCATAAGAGGGGTCATCAGAAATTCTAAGGGAGGAGGGGTACTTTCCTTTGACCCCTAAGAGTGACTAGGATATAATTTCTCCTCACAATGTCACCCCTGAATCACAAAGGAAGGTCAAAAGAAAAAAGGAAATGATCACCAACTAAAAAGGGTCTTGATTGTTAAAAAATTTCTCCTTGGTATCATCCTAGGAAATGTATTGAAAACAGTATCAAGAATATCAATTCTAATGTTTGGGTGGAAAGGATTAAGGAAGATGATTATGAGACAATTTGTGGTAGTATTACTGGTACATAAGAAGAGATTTTGAGAACAAAGTAATCTGCAATTCAACACTGACCTACGCTGACAACAATTGGATGATTGTTTTGGTGATTTTTTGATAAGATGAATAATGCTAAAAACAAGCAACAGTCAAATTTTATTGCTTTAAATTTGTCTACTGTGTAAATTAAGAAAAGTTTTAGTAAAATATAGTTTTAAAACATAATAATTTTAATTTTTTTATCAATAGATTTGATCTGATCTTCCTGATGCTTGATCCTCAAGATGAGTTGTATGATCGTCGACTGGCCACTCACCTGGTGTCCCTGTACCATCAGACACAGGAGGAGGAGGAGGAAGAATACCTTGTAAGCTGGATTGAAATAAACTTATAAGAGTTGTCTCCCTTATTGTTTTCTGCAATGTATATTATGAAAAATGTGGATACCTTCAACAGCCTCTACAAGTTATGTGTATACAATATGATGAAATTTGGTCAGAATTTGTTGATTAATTTATCTATTACTTCAGTGTAGCTTAATGGACAAGTCAATATAGTAATTCTTGTATTGCTTGTAAAATTCATCTTGCAAAACATTTTCATTATTTCAACTATTGAAATTTTTTTTCTTTTATTCTGCAATATAGGACATGAGTATACTTAAAGACTACATAGCATATGCTCGCTCCTATGTGAATCCCAAACTGAGTGAGGAAGCAGCTCAATACCTCATCCAGGCTTATGTGGGTGAGGAACTTTGGCTAATAACCCTGTAGTTCTTGTAGCAGAAAAATTTAGTCTTTCTTTGCTAGCTCAAGGTGTCTGATATACTGCTAAAACATTATCTTGTTCTTTAGGTAAAAATGTTCCAAATTCTTACTCATTCTTTTACTCTTTCATTCATTCATTTTCTTCCTTTCTTTTTCCCTCCATTTACTAATTCAGTTCTTCCTTCCTTTCCTTCTTTCCTTGACCCCTTCCCTCTCAAAAGTTGGCATTTTGATATGCTTTGCTTTTGGTTTTTGTTTTGGTTTTTCACAACATTAAGTCAAGAAGCATTTTAATCAACTGATCAGAAAATATCCTTTTAAAAATATCCAGCAAACAGGCAACCATAGAAACAGTAGCAAAGCAGGAGGATTCTAACAGTCAAACATGCTTTTTTTTTTGGGTTTTTGTTTTGACAGAGATGCGTCAGGTTGGTAGCAGTCGTGGTGCAGTAACTGCTTATCCTCGTCAGCTGGAGTCACTGATTCGCCTTGCTGAAGCTCACGCCAGGATGAGGCTTTCATCCAAAGTTGAAAATGTTGATGTGGAAGAAGCCAGAAGGTACTTTTTGAGCAGGAAAAAAAGTTGTTAACAACCCATCTGTAGGATCAGTCTTAAATGTCTAAGATACCAACATAAACATATTTTACTCTGATTTTGAAGGGAAAAAAGTTTGCTTAATGGAAAACAATTCTAAATCTTGATATTGTTTTCCTCAGACTGCACCGTGAAGCTTTGAAACAGTCTGCCACTGACCCCAAGACAGGGCTGATAGATGTCAACATTCTTACAACTGGCTTGAGTGTGTCTGACAGGAAACGACGCCTTGAAATTGCAAAGACTCTGAAAGAATTGTTACAGAGCAAAGGCAAAACACCCACGGTCAAATATCAGCAGACTTATGAGGAATTGAGGGAAGCTTCTGATTTGGTGAGTGAGGAATTGTGGCCAGCGTTGATCTATTTTTACTCTCTGAAACCCAAAATGAATGAGTATCTACAATACCAAAGAAATATTTCAGAGAAGCACAAACAAACTATTATAAACTCATTATAGTGGCCAATTTACATTATCAACTCAGTTGATAAAACCAAATTATTTTGTTATACTACCCACCAATGCATTACCACAGTTTCTTAAGAAACTTACCTCCTTCATTTTGAAGTGCCTGTAGGGATGTTTGAACTCAAGGGGTGGCACCAGCCTGCAAAATATGGTTGATGAAAAATTTTCTCAACCCCTTAACTCCCATGAGTGACCAAGACAGAATTTCTCCTTACCATATCAAGCAAACTAGTGATTAGAGTGAAGAAATTGTCAACAAGGGGATCAATAATTGATCCAATACCAAATTCTTCAACTAACATCGTAAAAATGGTATGGCAAGCAGTTTATGTGTAACCACTAAAGATTGCCATTTTCTCTCCTTGAGAGCTACTTGTATGTTGCATTTGAGATAACTCAAGTGCTACTGAATTTAGATTGCTTTACACTAAAGCTGATGATGTCACAATATTCAGCACTGAATGAGATGTCTAGTGTGATCTCTTACAAATACACCAGTTGTCCAAACTGCCAAGACTGAATCAAGATTCTTGTATGCTAAAATTTTACTTGTTTTAGATTCTCCTTTCTTAAACCTTTTGTATGGTAAGGATGAAATGGCTGATTGTCTCTAATAAATGTAAACACCATTTTTTTTGCCAAAGGTTTTAACTTGTGTGCCATTATTTAAGTAGGTGCACAAGTCTTAAGTCTTCTAATGTCTACTTTGTATTTAATTTTTAGCCAATATCCCGAGAACAATTTGATGATGCACTGAAGATCTTGCGAGATGAAGATTTCCTAATTGTCACTGGAAGAACTGCCATTCGTTTGATGTAATACAAACTCTTTTATTCCTGTTGGTTTCAAAATGCTTTGAAAACAGAATGTAAATGTATATATTAAATTTGTTATGCATTGTTTTGTGAAAGAAAATAGCAGGAGTTGCATTGTTTTATATGGCATGCCATAGCATTATGTCACTTGAAAGAACGTATCTCCTGTGAAATACATGAGGGCTCCTTAAATTGCTGCTTTAACAAACTAATTACTGTATCTAAGCCTCTTGTATGAGGGATATTTAGAAAAGTACTCTCATTGTGAATTTATGTCACTTGTTTCTTGACAGATAAAAACTCCACTTTTCAAACCAGAACAAACTGTCTGTTGTTTATTTTCTTTCTCTCAGCATACAGATCCATGTATTCTAGCATGTCTTATACGATCTCTCCGTAAGCAGCCATTTAATATCTTCCAACTGTTGGGCACTATCTCCTACGACTGACTGAGTTTCAATTCCCTATATAGATGGAAAAACCACACAATCAGAAGATATTATTTAAAAGGGGTTGGGTAGGACATCCACACCCGTGTTTACCTTATATCTGCCCTTTTGAAAAGGTAAAGGACACCTTTAACATAATTATTGCTGTCCTTTGCTCACCAGTTTGGCCTACTGTAGTCTTTATGACCAATTTGGTATCTTCTAAATGGCCTGCACTTCAGAACTTTAGAGTTGAACTTTTTTATGCCAGGCCAAAACAAGTGGATTGGTAGCATCCTAGATGGTTGTATACTAGTTGACTACAGTATAATTAGTACTTTTACTTCGTACTTATTACTGAAGAATTAGAGGTTTCTTCATAATTTGGTTGTGATGAACTCATTCAGAGCCTTCTTAAGTTAGGCTGTAAGTAGTCGACTAAGATGTCGAGGGTTTCTTGTCATCTATGGTCCCTGACAAGACAATGATTAAACACTAACCCCTTTCATTTTATACATTTCACAATTATTTTGCAATTCTTTTTATTTTACACTATTACAAAGAAAAAATATGTAGGGTATGTGAAAGTCTCCATAGGGAAGAAAACAAATGAACTGGTTAAATCAACATTTCACCAGGCATTAGGGAGCTTATTTTTCACTGGATAAAAAGGAAGACTTTCACTGGGTCTGGTTTCATTAGATGTGTTTTAAAGGGTGTGAAAATACAGGAGGTATATTGATGAAAGGTTCAATTTAGAAAACAACAGTGACAAAACAAAAAGGAAGGCTTGGTAACTCCTGAGAATTTTCGCATTTCTAATTCGTATCAGTGCACTTAGAATTGCGGCTTTTCCTCTGCGGTCCACCGTTTAATGTCAACTGAGCTATTGAAGGAATTGATAAACAAAGTGAATGGGAATAAGTCAAAGAAAATGTAACATTACTTTGGAAAAAAACCACATATTTTTTAGGGCCCTAAAAAATAAAAATACACCATAAATTGCAGAGAATGTTAAGAAAAGTAAAATTTCCAACAATATAAAGAAATTTTTATTTCGTTCGCTGGTGTTTTGGTTTGTGATGTGACGATTTCTCTGCCCATTGTTTCAGCTTTCCTCTTGTAAGCGTACACATTGTATAAATTGGTAGACTATTTTCCACGAAAACCTTCGTGGCTCCTTCGATAGCTCAGTTGGTAGAGCGGAGGACTGTAGAGTTGATGTTGTCATCCTTAGGTCGCTGGTTCGAATCCGGCTCGAAGGATTTTTTTTTTCTTTGATGTCGGAAATTCCATTCTTTTCTTTTTTATTGCCTTTGACTGATGAACCGGAATGTATCACGATGTTTATTTTTATTAACTCGTCATTTTTTTCTAACTAGGTTATAAATAATCCTCAATTTTTGAGTCATCACAGAGAAATTCAACCAGCAAAAAGTGAGATTTCCATTGCCCAGATTCACTTGAATCACTTTCGGGTACTCTTTTTGGGGTAATTCCATTACTTGGCTTCACTTGAATCCAAATTTTAGGGTACTTTTATTAGTAGCAGTTTTTTTTTTTCACTCTGTGCTCAATTTTTCTTCATTCAACTTTTACGCTTAGACACGTTTTACGCGTGCGGAATCTGCGCGGAAAACTGCTTTCGCGCGCGAATTTGTTTTGTTGTATCGCGGGCTTATTTGTCGATCAACGCAATGTAAAGAAGAATATGGCGGAGTTGGAAGAAATTCTTGAAAAACTACTTGTTCCTGACAACACAGTGATACGGCAGGTAATACATATATCCCTCCTAACTCTGGCCAATTGATGTATCATTTGTTTATGTAATACAGGAGTGGTTTACTTGCATTATTTAAGGCAACTTCTCAACTTCGTGAAGCATTCAAGAACCCTGCTGTCGTACCAGCCCTCATTACTGTCTTAGGCTCCTCTCAAAACCCTCAGGTAAGACTTAAAGGTTCTGCAAAGTTTTTGATTTTCAATTTAATTAATTAAAGAAACTGTTCCGAAGTCTTATTCGTTATTTCCTCCTCGTTCATCACCTAACTTGTCAGTGTTAATTGGTGTTAATGGACCTTTATGCCATTAAGTCGAGTAAAGCTCCTAACTGTCTCAGCCAACATCAATTTATGTTAAAAGGTCAAATGTCAGAGGAAATACGACTGAAAAGGTTTCACTTTTATTTTAGGCATCGATTTGTTATTCTAGTATAGTTAACGAATTTACTGTAAAACGTACACAACGTAAACACGTGTTACTTGAGAAAAATTAACGGGGGGAGGGAAAATTATTTTCCTGCAGTGACGGAGGATGAGGTATTTTAAGCGACTGCTATTTTTCCGAAAGCGAGTGTTGCTTAGTGACCTTGCAGGATGTTCTTGAGTTTTACTAATATATGCTTAACACTTCTTATACACTATGAAATAGAAATAATAGCTTAAATATCGTTTATTTTGCTTTTGTTTTTTCTTTTTTAAAGGTAAGACAATATGCAGCAGTTTTGTTGAGAAGACGGGTTGTGAAGCAGTGGACAAAACTTTCCCCTGATGTTCATGCCATGTGAGTACAGAATGAAGTTGGATTCAAGCAAATTTGCATTCCTGCCTGATAATACTGTATCCATACTCTCCATGCTCTTTGTTATACATTTATTTTGGTATTGACAAGGATAATTTTTTTTAAGAATCAGGGCTTCTTAGGTTGCAGATCATTTCCTAAATTCTCATTATCTAAATTTGTGATTTAGCAGTATCACAGTAAGGAGAAAGTAGATGCTGGTCTTGCTCAGGTTTTTAAAGGGTGTTTGGAAATTTAAAGGGAGAATAGTAAGAGAGAGTATCTATACACAAAGATGAGGGATGGAGAAAGTTGGAATGAGAGCTGTAAAGGGCCTGGGACACTCAAAGTGATTAGCTCATTCTCTTTCTAGGAAAAGTGTTGACATATTCTTTTTCATCACAATTTTTGAGAGGTGTAAGTTTTCCAGGAAAATCACAGAACTAATAAAAGTAATTCTACAGCATTGCACTGTGGAAGATTTTCACTGGTAATAATGTACATGAAAGAATTACGTGCATCTGATTGGCTGCAAATGAGTGCATTTTTCATGTAAACAAGTGCATTTAGTTGTAACACGAATGCATATCACAAATAGCCGCACTGTCAAAATTTTGTCAGTCTTGATTGTCTGTGAAGCTTTTTTCATGTAAATTATTGACAATTAACAACTCATGCAATTTGGTGTTGGTAAACACTTGTAAATTTTTCAAATTTTTCATTTTTTACTATTTTTTGACAATCAAGAAATCAGAACATTTTAAACTGTATTTTATTTGCCCTAGGTTAAGAGAGTCCCTCTTGCAGGTGTTGCTTCAAGAATCAGAGTAGGTTACTTGTCCTTAATGTTAGTTACATTTGGATGTTTTAATTTGTTGTTGTCTGTCTTGTCTGAATTTTCAATTTTTCAAATCTGTTTAAGGCAACTGAATTATTACATCTGTTCATTAGTTTCAGTTTCTTGTGATTCAATGTTTTTATGAGAATCTTTTTGTTCATTTTTCAACAATTTGAAACTCCCATTAATAGTTGATCTTTATAATTTTGCAGCTCAACTGTAAGAAATTCAGCTGCACAAGTGGTATGTTATTCAAATACTATTAATAACAACAGAAATGAGTTGAGCAGTTGATGTCTTTTTACCAACTAAATATACTGCTACAAAAGAGAAAAGAAGGACTTAGAATCTTCCACTTTCTGCATGCTGCTCTTCCTCCACCTCCCTCTTATGTGAGTCTTTCTTCTTGTCCTTTATTGTAACAGACTATTTCCAGACTTCATTATCAGTTGTATTGCATTATGATTTGGCAATGGTCTGGTCCCCTGTTCCTGAAGTTATTGATCTTTCTGTAGGTGAGTGTGATAGCTAAACATGACCTGCCAGCCAATCAGTGGCCAAAACTGCTGGTTTTCCTTCAGCAACACATCAAATCAGAGCAACCACAGCAAAGAGAGGTTAGTCAGCTTGAGGACTAAAACTTCTTAAATCTATCTCTGTCATTCATCTGGTTTGATAAAGAACTCAAATTTGACCTTTCAATTCATTTCATTTCATTTCAGATGGGCATGTTTCTTCTTAGTTCCATCACAGAATCTGCCAATGAACAGTTAAGACCACATTTCACATCCCTGTTTCAGCTTTTCTCCAGTACACTTGAAGATCAACAGAGTAAACTAGTGCCATTTTATACAATAAGGTACGTACTGTGACCTAATAATGTTAGTTTGGGTTTGTAAATGTTTATCTTGTATGATCAGCAAATATATATATTTTTTTGTCAGAGCCCTTACCTGCCTTATTGAATGCATTGGAACTGAGGAAATTGTAAGTTTGCTGAAACTTTTTCTTTCACTATTAAGTGTGTCATTTCAATTCCTGTTCTTTAAATATTTAATCAACTAGGTTTTTTTTACTGTCTGATTAAATATAAATTAATATTTGATATGTTTCTTGTTGTTATTAGCCTTTAGTTAGACCACTTATACCAAAGGTGGTAGGATATATCAACCAAATCTTAGCTATAGATGAGGTAAGTTGCATGCATGATGAGAGTTTTGTTTAAACTTGTTTCTTATGTATACCACTAGAGTCACAGCAAATTTTATGTCAAAAGTTCAAACAAACATTTGCTTATTAAAGCACTTATCTGTACAAATACAAAATTTCATATTAAAATATCGCTCAGTGGGGATCCTGAAGGTCAACAAATTTTACTAAAATTCTTTGGCTGATCTAAAACTTATCACTTTTCTTATAAAAACCCAAAATTTTTCAAAATGGCCTAATTTCCCTCTTTTTTTGTTACAAATCTGTTTTAATAGCACAAGCAACCTACCTGTAAGTTAAAGAATTACCACTAGAAAATCTTAGTTACTTCTCTCTTTTTTTCAATTTGAGGATAAAGCTTGTGATGCTATGGAAATATTTGATGAACTGGTAGAATCAGAAGTCAGTATTGTGACCCCACATTTAAAGACACTGGTTGAGTTCTGTCTTCAGGTTGGTCTTACTTAATCCACTACTTTACAACTGTACTTCAGTAAAGCTAGGTGTACGTCATGAGCTTTATCACCATAAAAGTGTACTGACATTGTTGTCTGATGTGCTGGTGAACGAGGTCCTGGCTAGGATGGTTCTTGTTAATCAGAGACTAATGTTTGTAAGTCATTATCAGAGTCAAACGTTGTCAAAATGTCAGTTTTCCTCACCAAGAACTTTCCTTGTGACGACTATTCTCACCCAAAACAGCACTTGAATAAAGTAGTACATATATAATGTAACTTTAACCCTTAACCCTTTACACCCTAACACCAGAATGCATATTCTCCATACTGTTCTCTATAGATTTCCAAGATTGCTGACAAAGAGAATTTGTTTAACAATCAAGAGCTTCTTTAGTTGGTGATCATTTCTTAGGACTCTGCTGTTCATAATATTGAAAGGATCAGAGTCATTGTTAGCAATAATTCTAATTTTATTGTAGATTGCAAGCAATTCTTCCTATGGAAATAATTTAAGGATAAAAGCTCTACACTTTGTGAGCTGGTTAGCAAGAATAAAACCCAAGGTGAGCTTTGATAAGTGCCTTGGTTTTCCAAGGGCTTCATTCGCCCAGCCCCCAGATAGAACTGCAGTTACCATGGTTGACAAATTCTTGCAGTCTACCCACACCCATAAACTGCATCAATGGAAGGAAAAAGAGGGTATTTTAGGATTTGGGAAAAATACCAACAATAAGACTTTGAGAGGAAAACTGCTTCCAAAGTGCTTTAGAACTCAAAGATTGAGCTGCCTGAGAGCCTGCTTGCATGCTAAACAGACAGCAGTAAGAAGTCTAATAGGCAGCAGTAGCACCATCTGTAACCAGATTCTATTAAAACACCAGCATTAAGTCTGTTAAATTGTCATTGAACTAAATTGAAATTAGAAGTAAGACTTTGTCATTACCACCCTGCCCTCTTTCTTCATTCCTTCCTCTTTTACACACGTGAGAAAAAGGTGCAGCCATAAAGTTTATTGCATATTCCTACACCTTTGCTATGTCAAAGTAGCTTTGAGTGCTATCTTAATGTTCAGCTCTTGTGAAATTTTCTGAAATGTACAGATCTCGACTGGAAAACTTTAACCAAGAGTTAAAGTTTTGGAAGTTAATAGCCAGAAATGGCAAAAGAGAGATTATTTAATCTTAAAAGACCTTTCATATAATATAAAATTTCAATACCTTGAATTTCTCTCTTCCAGTTAGAAGACATTTATGGTTGCTTGACTGTATTTAGTGTAGCTGTGAACAAATACCAATGAATGTTTTTGTAATAGGCACTTGTGAAAAACAAACTTCTCTTGCCTACATTGTCTGTGGTGTTTCCATTAATGGCATCGCCACCAAATGAAGATGATGGAGAAGATTTTGATGATGATGATGATGACGATGAGGTGGGAGATGAAACTGAAGCAAGCAGGCCTTGTGCCGTGGCTTCACAGGTAAAATATAAAATGAATTGGTGCTTTGTTACAACAGTTATGGTTTGACCACAAACCTTTTTTTGAGCTTTGCACTTGAAAACTTGCATTCAAAATATGCCAAGAATATGCCAAGCAAGAATTTTCACTGAAGAAGTTGCTGAAGTGCCCATACCATTCTTCAAGCCATGCTGTTTTCCCTGTTCTCTCCATTTTAGTTCAAGGTCACATTAACATAAATGTGACCTCCCTTTTTCCATTGTGTTTGAGTGTTCCTGGGATTTTATTTCCTTTCTCTGAGCTATTGTTCGACTTGTCATTTCACCATATCTGAACCCTGGCTTTCATTTTTGAAATTGTTACTGTTTTCAACCCATCCCACCACTTTTTCTGTAGGTACTTGATGTTCTTGCTCTCCATTTTCCACCTGAATCAGTTATTCCACCTCTGGTAAGTAAACTGTTTGGCTGAATAAACTGTAGTAAGACTGGACCTAGAGAACTAAATGTTTCTGATGCCTCTACAGATGGAATTGGTCAAGCCAGCTCTTACAAGTGAAGATCCTTACAAGAGAAAAGCAGCTCTAATAGCACTGGCTGTACTTGCTGAGGGGTGTGCAGACTACATCAGGAACAGGTTTGATTGTGTTTTACAAAAGCTCCATTAATTACACAAATGTTTAGTTCAAAGAACATCCAACACTTGCTCATCTATTACCAATTAACTTTTAAGAGATTAACAATATTCATAGGGGCTCCATGCTTGTGAAAACAGTTAGTTTACATGGTAGTTGATGCCCAGTATATAGGCTTGAAAGAGTCGGTTAACCTCACTACATTACACCCACAAATTTCCAGTCGAAGCTTCACTGTATGGTTCACCACCAACTTTTTACTGTATTCTTTTGGGGTTTTAGATACCTTGAGGCAGCATTACAGACAATGTGTAGAGGTGTGTAAAAGGAAACATTATGGTAGTGAATTTTATTAGTACTCATATGACTCAAAGAGGTGGGAGACACAATAAAAGTTTGATATGTTTCCATGGCAATAATATTTTTTATTAGCTAATATTTGTATATGTTCAATCAAATTTAATTGTTTTAATTGAATAGAATGATTGTGTGTGAGACTAAACAATTATAACTAATAAATTAAGGTAACAAAAAAAAACAAAAAGTAAAAGAAAACTTCTTATTGTCCTTATGTGGATTATTCTGGTTTAAAATGTGGTACAACTTTTTATAAAATATCAAGTTACTACATTTCATTCTCTTCAGGTCTTGCAGATCAGAATACACTGGTTCAGAATGCAGCACTGTTTGCTTTGGGTCAATATTCAGAATATTTGCAGGTGATATGTAGTTTTGAATCTCACTCAAAATTTATAACTTATTTTAAATTAATATTTTATGAATTCCAGCATTTTGTTTGTATTCAACTTATCTCTCCACAGGTCCATGAAATTATTGTACTAATTATAATAAATTCTTATATTATTATATTTTGTTATTGTTGTTATTAATATTATCATCATAATTACAAAAATATGCAAGTGTACTGTATTTAAATAATTGCAACTTACCTCAATATAAAGGCTTTCCATTTAAAATAGATCTTTGGATGCATGATTGTATAATTATATATGAGCTATTTACAGGCTAAAATATTTAAAAAGCAAAAACCAAACATTTTCAACTCTAGGTCATCATCAGGCTAAAATGACTGAATACCCCAATGATGACCTAGGATAAAAACATTTGGTTTTTACTTTTTAAATATTTTAGCCTTCTAAATAGCTCATTCTTTAAACCTAAGCAAACTTGATAGACATGTATTTACATATTTTTCTGTTCAACAATTGTTATTTTATTCAAGAGATTGTTTTTATTCTGTTTCTTTACAGCCAGATATTAGTAAATACAGTGCAGATATCCTCCCACTTCTGTTTGAGAGACTTGTTAATACCTCTGCTGAGAGTGGACAAACATCACCCAGTATATCAAGGACTTACTATGCATTAGAAACATTCTGTGAAAATCTAGGTAATAAGATTTGAGATTTTTATGTTAAATATATCATGCTGCACTAACAAGAAAAAAAATAGATTAATAAAAAATTTAGAGAACTTTTTGGGATTTATCTGGTATCAGTAACACTTTGTGTCTAGCAAGACACTTTGTCTCTCAGTGCCTCCCTCCATCCTAGGGCATGAATGTGTATCAGGGAAGACTTGTGAAGTTATGGTGACGGTGGGGGGAGGGGTAGGGGGTGGAGTGGGTGTTTACCTTCAGTGGACTGGCTTCCCATCCAGGGAACATAGTTGTACTCCTGGTGGCGCTAATCGCTCTGACGAAGGGCTAACGCTCGAAACGTCAGCTTTTTTACTCTTTACGGTGGCTAATTTACGTTTTCAACCCAGTTGTTAACACTAAATTACCTGCTATACTCTCCCACCGACGCAGCACCACAGTTTCTTTAGAAACTTACCCCTTTATTGATGGATGTAGTTTTTAATAATGCAATTTTTACCAGAGTGGAGTAAATTCTCCTTTTCACACAGTATTATACACGCACAATCACTCTACTAAGACAGCTGATTAATTGTTAGAGTTAATGGGTTTTTTTTTTTGTAGGAGAGGGTATCCTTCCATATCTACCGAGATTAATGGAGAAACTACTTGTAGCGCTGTCACCTAGTACAGTAAGTTTTTTCTATTAAGTATCAGAATGTGATGAGTGTGCTTTCATGAATATATCTGCATGCAAGGACTGTAATTTTAATAATGATAAGATGAAGAATTTCAGGTATATTTTAAAGCCAGCAAGTGCATATATTTTTCATTAGATCATAAGAAAGGTTCCACTTAGTGGTTGAATATTCACTCTGAGTTATAAAAATTGAAGTTTACATTATTTTTTGCAAGAATAACAAAGAAAAAAATACCACTTCTTGTTTAACTAGGGATGTTTATGTGAAGAGGTGAATTCTGTTTGAAGTTCTTTAACCCTTTAACTCCTGAAAGTGATTGACATAAAACGTCTCCCTAAAATATATATATACTATTCAGCAAACAGGTAATAAGAACATTCAAACTTATCAGGTAGAAGCCGCTATCTTGATCTAGCACCAAGTTCTCATGACTAATTTACCTGGAAATGTGTAACAGTTAGAAGGGAGAATTAACAATCAGATCTTTTGAGTTAAAGGGTTAAATATGTTTTGAGAGGGATGGGGATGATTAAGGCAAAAAAAACATTGTTTGCCATGCACCCTTTGACAAACATTGAACCAGTGAAATTTCAAAATTTTTTACAGTAAACTATAAGTATGAAAAATAAAACTGAGAGCAATTGAATAAAAGGCATTTACATGAGGTCAAATTTCATATCAATGTAGAACCAGTATGGAAGTGATATGACTTCTAATTGAAAATAAATTAATCACGCAAATGTGATATATTTGCTTAAATCACTTGTGTAGAGTATGCAGATGAAGGAATTAGCAATTAGTGCAATAGGAGCTACAGGTAATCATATTGTGTTCAGGAACATTTGTTTTAATAGCACAGCATTAAAACTCAAATTTCAGAGAGCTCAAATGAATGAACGTTTTATGTGTGGCCTTTCCTTGCGAGGCCAAACAGTTCTTAGTTTAATTTATCTCGCTGTTTTTACTGAATTATTGAAGAGAAATGCATGCTTCAAGGATAATAATAATTTTTCAGCTGCAAAACCCCTTGGAAAGTGAAACGCATCCTGAAAGCGATTTACTTTTTTGTAATTAAAAGAAAGGAGCAGGGAATGCTAAAAACAGAAACTGTTATAGATTTAAAAATTAGAAACAGTTATACCGGTAAACTCGGCAAAAGTTATAATAACTGTCACTCTCTATGCAATTCCTTTCTTGAATTCCTTGTCATATTCATTCTTTTTTGTTACAAATATATATATATATATGTATATATTTTTATTTACAGCAAATGCTGCTAAAGAAGCTATGTTACCATACTTTCCACAAATAGTTGAATTTATTAAGGTAATTACCGCACTTCCAGTAGATAGCGATGTTAAATAAAATTATTGAATTAGGTATCATTAGTCAGATTGCTAAGGTTTCAAATGGGATAGACTGGATACTTGAAAACGATGATTATGGTTGTCATTTGCAGGATCTATGCGTCATCACCTCGAGACAAATATTTTCCTGTCGGGCCTCAGTCAAAAAGAATTTTATCATAGGATCATCGCTCTTTATTTTTCTTCCTTTCTTCCTTTAGCTTAGTTCTCGCGGGGCACGCAGGACCACACAAGTCATATAATAAAAACACTCATCGCGTTCTGATATTACGAACAGAAAGCTAGCCTAATAAAAATGGACTTAAAGCTATCTTGATTTTCTGCCAACATAACGAGATGTGAATGCCTTAAAACAGCACAAAAAATGAAACGTATTGGAAGGAAGACCAATATACCTAAAGCTCAGAACGTTTAAATCACTTGTCTTATCGTATGCTGGTATTATTATAATTTCTTTTGGATAGGAATATCTTAGCGACACGGGATCAATAGAGAGAAATATTCTTCGAGTACAAGCTATTGGTGAGTCTTCCTCTGATTCTCATGGATATTTCAATGTTATAATTCACAACAATTAAGACTTTGTCTGCTACGTTTTGGATTTGGTGGATTAAAAGAGGACAAACTACTACTTGCTAATCTGTGTTACTTGTTTTATCCTAAAGTGCTTTGATCCATTTTCCCCTTTATGCTTTTAATGGCGTTTGTGTTCCCTATCGGGTGATCGTGTCTCTCTTTTCCTTATTTTATCACACCAAACGATGTTAAAATATTGAGACAAAACTCCACTATAATGCTCAAATATTTGTCGTATACTTACGAAATTACTGAATTGCTGTGCTTTGCAAGCATCAACATCAACCGACGCGGTTGTTTGAAAGGTGAATAATGCTATCTGCTGGATAATTCTCTACTCGGTGGATAGCGCAGTACGTTTTGTTGATATTTATCCGCTGGATAGCTCTTTATCCGTTGCATAGATAGAGTTATCCGCCCTCTATACAACTGGACCCATTACTGTAACTTTCAATTTAAAAAATTTTACAAATATTTTGTATTTTTGATAGATACATTAGGTGTCCTGGCTAGAACAATTGGAGCCAGTAACTTTATGCCATTGGCAGATGAGTGTGTTCAACTTGGTTTGGTAAGGTTCCCATATCAAACAATATAGTGCAGTTGTTAGTTACCAAAGAAGACACTGAGTCTGTCGTTGATTGACGAACCTTCAATGCGATGTACATACTCTAGAAGACAGCTCGTAGTCCAATAAATACTTTCTTATGCATATCCACTGAAGTCGAGTGCTGAATCGTAATTTCAGTGGCGAACGATCATTTCATGCAAGTCTCGAGTCCATTTTTGAGACCAAGCTGACTTCATTTGGGTAACCTTCTTCTCTCGTTATTGGCATCTGTTTTCTCTTGACCCTTTTGTGTTATATGAATCAACTGTTGAAATTAAGATTTCATCTTAGAACAAAGAGAACCTCGGTATGGCTATCAATAACTTACTTACAGTTTGAAATATTTTCTTTCAGAGACTACTCCAAGAAGACAGAGATCCTGATCTAAGGAGATGCACGTAAGAATTCTGACCATTGAACAACTTCGTTGATATGTGCAGTTTAATGTGACAAGTTATAACTGGTAGTATTACTTTGTATAATCAGATATGGTCTGTTTGCGTCAGTTTCTACAATATTGAAGAGCAGTATTGGAAAATATTTGAAAGACATTGTTAAGTATATGATTGAATCACTACAGTCTGCAGAAGGGATTGTGGTAAGTTAATTTAGGTACTGCTGGTGATACTAGCTTTGTCCATCAATTTGCTCCAAGATTTCGTTTTTGTAGTTCTGTGGTTGTGTTATTTTTTTTACCTTATATAGAGATAATGGTTGCAAGATCCTTCACCCACTGCGCAAGAACAATTATTTTTCTTTGTCCCGCGCTCGTGACAAGACGAAAAATATCTTTCATTATTTCCTTACCGAGCTCAAAACTCTTATTCTATTTACAAACATGACGTTATCGACATTGCTGATCCTAGCAGTATGCAGGACGTGTGTCATATGAACTTCGTAATAGACCTCTTTCACTGTAGAGTCTCTGTGGCTCAATGGTAGAGCATCGGAGCGCGGAATCCGAAGGTCTGAGGTTCGATTCCTCAAGGGGACTCAGAATTGTTTCTTTGTCTCACGCTCGTGACAAGACAAAAACATCTTTTACAACAGTTATCATCGTTACAACGATTACACTCGTGATTACAACTTAGCCTTAACCCTTTTACTCCCAAGATCTCATTAGTAATTCTCCTTACTGCTACCATACAATTATTTTGATGTAAGTTCAGAGAATTTGGCATTGGATCGACTAATAATACCTCAATTAATAGTTTTCTTTATTCTCATCACTTGTCTGTTTGATGTTGTATCGATATTGTACAAGAAATTCTGTTTGGATCAATCATGGGAGTTTGAGGGTTAACGTGATGAAGTGATAAAAACTGCGTTATCATAGCAGTAAACAAGAACTCAGATGACACAAGCATGAAAATTGAAGAAGAGAAAATAATATCTTCATTAGAGAAGTGTACAATGTTCTTTATATGCAGGATATACCTATTCTGTAATGTTGCATAGGCCAAAGTTTCTTATTTGCACTAAGTACCGGCGAAAGATAATACACTTACAGTAGACGTTTGTGATCTTGGCCCGTAAGTAAGTCAACTTATAGTCTTCACCAGACTCTCGGTGAATAGAAACAATCGAAAAAGCGGGCGAGTAAAAAATAAAAAAAGGCGGAGGTCTGGGAAAGAGAGAAAAGGACTGACGTATTTAAAATAATGTTGAAGGACTCTCCCGCCAATTTTTCGCCGCTCGCCTGATTGTTTAATTGTTTCTGCCGACTGCGAAGCTGGCTCATGTATGCCATATTCTTATTATTAATTCAGATGCATTATGCAAGTGAAGATGACCCGAGTTTTTTACTGGAAGGTGAAGACTTGGAAGGCGATGAGGGCGTCGAAGACGACGACGATGAAGTAACCGGGTATAGAATGGTTTTTCTTTTTTAAGTATTGGTAATATAGTTCGTATTGTGATGAATTTTAGGTTCCAGCTGTCTGTCTATTTTCCTTTTCAGTGATTGAATTGCTTTTCTTTCTTTTTTTCCAACCCAGTGATCAAGTGATGTTTACTTTTTCAGAATCTTTGCCATACTTGACTTCCGTTCGTTGTTCAATTCCCTTTGTTTACAGATATAGTGTAGAAAATGCCTACTTAGAGGAAAAAGAAGACACTTGTAACGCTCTTGGGGAAATTTCAGAAAACTCAGGGTAGGTTGTATTGCGTATGTCATTACATTGTGTGAATGATACGTTTGATGCAGATGCTTTTGGACCTGCATCTTGTACCAATCTCCGCCTTCCGTGCTGCCAAGATTTGTGCCCGCATTTTTATTGGCAAGGGCATTCTTAACATACAAACTTGCACTTATGGACGAACGGTCTCGTTATAAACGAAATTTTTTCGGCTCGAGGGTTCTTATTCATACCAACATTTTGTTTATGAGTATGGGGCTTAACTGTGCACGTTGTGCACGCTGCGAACTCCGCTATTACGCAAAATGTTTTCTGCTAAATTTCCATAGGCCTGAGCTAGTTTTTATTGACGATAAACTTGTTACTTTTCTCTAATACTTTTTCAATGAAGATTCTGAATCCTAGAAAAAAGAGGAAGGATCTAGGGGCAAACAGATTTATCCTGATATGTTTATCCAGTAGGTACTATGGAGAAGTGGGTGAATGTGAAATAAGCCTGTTTACTGGCTGTTAAACAAGTTCTCTGTGGCTCGTAAGGTCTGTTGGTCGAATCATCACAAAGGACTCAGAGTTTCTTCGTTGACCTACGCCCATGAAATCACTTTGAAATCTTTCTTTACTGATTAGAGTTTCGATGTTTGACTTTTCTGTTCGTGACAGGAAGGAGTTTCTACCATATTTAGATGAGTCGTTTCAAGAAGTTTTAAAATTGATTCAGGTATGAACTTCCTGTGTTTTAATAGGTCGGTGGATGATTTCAAAACCATTTGAATTAAAGTGATGTGGGAAACATTGCCCTCTAAGACGATGCTTGGATATACAAAGTACCTTGGAAAAAAATTCCTATGGGAAAACTGTATAACCACCGCTCCATCGATAAGAAGTAGCCCCATGTTGTTGAAATCTGAACAACCACTGGCGGGGAATTGTCTGAGAGTCCTGATGAAATGCTGTGAGATAAGGGTGACAAATTTGTGCTTTGGGGGGAGCATTGATACCTTTAATCTCCTCATGCTCTGGAGATCAGGATATGTTCGGCTCGTATGGGCTAACGGGCTTGAGTTTAACTAAAATTCAAGCCCGTTAGCCGTTGAGACCTGCCTTCCTGTTAAGTTACAACGCATTTTTTGCCAAATCTCTTGGCCACTCAAGTATGATGTTAAACAATACTTCTTTTGAATGTCCTACGGTTTTAAACTTTCTTACCCTTGTATAAACAATTAGGAAGTGAAAGCTTTAATATGATAATATAACAAACCAAGGCAAGTTGTTTTCATCTCTGACAGTTTCCTCACCCAGGAGTGCGAAAGGGAGCCGTGATGGCGCTAGGTCAGTTCTGCAATGGATACCATTCTTTACTTCAAGAAGCTGGTGCAGAGGATAAAACAGCATGTATGTACAGAAAACTATCTAAGGTCTACTAGTGTTGTAGTTACTACTGCAGAAAGGAAAGCCGATCAGAATGCTGGAAAGCCTTTGATTATTTGACTTTGACTGTCCTTTTTGAATACCATTGACAACTTAATTTTCCATTGCATTGGTTTACATCTAATTTCAAGCATGGGTGTCCCACCTATTGTTTCTGCCCTTGTTGTCCCACTTGTTCCATGGTCTAAGAACATAATGCTGTTTGTTATTCTGTTTGTTATTATTATTATTTGTCATTCCGCGAACGATTCGAACGATTCGTTCAGAATTTAGCTGACTATGCATAACGCAGACGTTCAAAAGAAGCGTACATTTGAGTGCACCATCTTATCAGCCCAATCACAACAACTTTATCCTTAATTTTTAATTTTCTCAGTACAACGTATGCTTGGCACAGCCATACCCACTTTTATCGCCGTTATAACTAAGGACAAGGACAGGTCAGTTGCCATGGCAACCCTGCAGTCACTTAATGAAGTACTAAAGGCAGTCAAGTCTTTGATCATTGATGAACAGGGATACCATGACGCCATCGCCGGTGCTGTCAGAACTGTGCTTATGCACAAGGTTTGTTAACTAAATTTCTTCAAATGATTTGTAATCTCCTTTTCACCTCAGAATTTCTCGTTCTCAAAAAACAAGCATAATAGTAAAAACGTGAGTGACGTAGAAAAAAAGAAAACAAAGAAACGAACATTTATAAACGTGTGGCTTCATAGCTTAGTTGATGGTAGCGCCCAGATAATATCTGGAAGGCCTGGGTTCGAATCCCGTCGAAGCCTGAATTTTTTTCCGGCTTCTTTTCTGTAATTGTTTAACCCTTTAGCCCTAAAGAGTGACCAACATCTAATTTCTCCTAACAACATCACCCTTGAATCAAACATTAAGGTCATGAGAATAAAGGAAACGATCACCAACTAAAGAAGCTCTTGATGGTTGAACAAATTCTCTTTGTCAGAACCCAAGGAAATGTCTAGAGAGTAGTATGGAGAATATGCATACTGATGATAGGGAGTAAAGGGTTAGATTTCAGCTCTCCTGCGAGGATCATTGCTTTTCTTAATCTTCAACCGCAGGATAAAAAATTATAAAAGATTTCAAAGTAATGAAGTCTTGAAAACTTTTAGTAATGGTGATAAAACAAAGCAAAAGAGTTCTCACTTTGGAGTTTACTGATTTTCTAACTTTGAAACTATTTTGTCTGGACTGAAACAGCACGTAGCTAGATGATACTTTGTAAGATCATCTAATTGATGCTAGTTTGTACCCTGGGGTAAATTTCCTGAAGATAAGATTAGTCCGCTGCGTAACCCATAAATTGTAAGTACTTCACCACAAGTTTCTTCACACAGTGGTTCTAATTCTCAGTCACCCTTTTCGGGAGGGACTTTTGGTATCTTAAATCAAACCTGCGCCAAAAACGCCTTTATGGAGATCACCAAATCATGTGTTTCTTGCTCTCTAGACTGCATGTCAACAAGAAGATGATGATGACGTTGAAGATTCAGACCAACAGGCTGAGTTTGATGCCATGTTGATTGAATATGCTGGAGACATTTTGCCGTCATTGGCGACAGCTGTGGGCGGTCAGATCTTTGCACCGTACTTTGCTGGATTCTTGCCTTTGCTTTTGAAGAAAACGGTCAGTAAGAATACAACGTTTACTTGTATAAACCTAGCAGTAATATTTGTGTCAGCATAGTCTACAATACAATTCAATGGGGAACAACCCACCTCCTATTCGTACAAGAATGGCTGCGTAAAAATACCAGAGTAAAATGCTATAAGTTCTCGAAGGCTTTACAATTTTTTAAGTCAGTTTTTACCGCTGCATTTGAATTTCTCCCACTTTTTTTGTTATTGCCTAACCTATTAACCCTTTACACCCCAACATCTGTATGCATATTCTACATACTGTTCTCTATACATTTCCTAATGTACTGAATAGGAGAATTTGTTTAACAATCAAGAGCCTCCTTAGTTAGTGATCATTTCTTTTATTCTCATGACCTTAATGTGTGGTTCAGGGGTGATATTGTAAGGAGAAATTAGATACTTGTCACTCTTAAGGGCCAAAAGGTTAAGCGAGAGAAAGCAGGAAATACATATTGGGTGCGGCCCAGTGTAGTAGTTCTTTGAAAGGTGACGGCTTAGTTTTCTATTCTAATTAATCACTATTTTGAAGAGCTTAAACAACGTAGTTTATTCCTTCTCGCAGAGAAAATCTTGCCCGGTCTCCGATAAATCATTTGCTATTGGAACTATCTCGGAGGTAAGTTACTGTGGAATTGGATTATTTACTGATTTGTTTTGTTTGGGGACAAATGTTTGCTACCGCTCAGAGAAACCTTTGGTTGACCAATAACGTTACGGAACTAATAACGTTACGGAGAAACGGATGAAACGGGTTTACGAACTGTACTTATAACACTCGACTGACGACAGCACTTCACTCAACTCTGATGGTGATTTCCGTTCAGGTTGTGGAAACATCAGTCATTACTACCTACGACAGTCTTTCTCAGGGCAATTCTCACTCGGAAGATCAGTTCTCACGATCTTGTGTCACTCCAGGTGTCAAACCATATACTGTAATGCTTATAAATCTTTGACAAGGAGACAGCTACATTTTGTAGGACACATGTAGCTAAAATAACTCCACAAATGTTGTTTGACAGGTAATGCTTGCTATGAGCCACGCCATAGTTCCCTTTGTGCAGCATATCTTTCCTGTGTTCATGACGTCACTCCAAGACGAGGATGATGAAGTGAGAAGTAATACTATCTATGGCCTTGGTATTCTGGCCTTTTATGGAGGAGACCTTATCACACCGTATCCGCATTTGTATTTTTGGTACAAATTTTATTGAATTACTCAGTCAAAATGTTTACCTTTTATTTCAAAGCGTAATGTAAACATTTTTAAAATTAACTTTCGCCCTGAAGAGGTACTGAAAGCTGTAAATTCGATTCTTCGCCGTCTCTCAAAGACGACTTGCAACGATAAAGCTGTTGGACGACTGTTTTCTTAGAGATAATTTGTGGGGATGATTTGTGGGTGTTTTCTTAACTTCCTTCAAGTCAATATCCAACCATTTTAGAAGCTCTGTTTGTGATCCTGTCCCAAAATCAACCTCCTCGAGTGGTGGACAACATTTGTGGAGCTGTCAGCAGGATGATTATGGCAAATAGGAATTTTCTTCCTCTGGAAAAGGTGAGGATTTCGTTTTCATTAACTTCACTTTTCTTGCATTCAGTTTATTTTCCTCTTTAAGGAGCAATTACTTGGCTTCCCGTGCGGGTCTTTGTGTTCTGTTCTTGAGTAAGACGTTTCACTCACGCAATGCCTCACAATGACAGGGAAACCCGACGGGGGGAGGGCAAGGACATGAAATAGGGTACTAACCGACTACATCGTGATCCACTGTTCTTGCAGGTTTTTCCAGGATTATTGCAGTGTCTTCCCTTGAAAGAAGATTTTGAAGAAAACGATCCCGTATATTCATGCATTATAGAACTTTTTAGTGATCAGCATCCTCTCATCAGACAGTATTTACCACAACTTCTCGCAATTTTTTCACAAGTTCTACCTTCTGACACACTACAAGATGGTGAGTAACAGAAGATATGAATGGGTCCAGTTATTTCAGGTCACTGTAGAAACTAGATGTAAAAATCATTATGGATTTCGCAGTCAAATTTCACTCGTTTACTCCCTGTCCCTTAGAGTGGCCAATTGCTTATGTCTTATAACGATGGTATGTATCGGACGAGCATAGTCGAATATTCTGTGTTGGTTTTGACTCATTCTTTGATTTTTCAATTTTTTTATTTCGTTTAATCAAAGAAACAAAAACAGAATGAAATTGCTGAAAGAAAATTCGATCCAAGAAAATTTGTGTCTGATTATGTATATGTTTTCAGGTATTCGTTCAGGACTTGTCAGTGTGATACAAAACATTCACCAACAATCTCCACAAAGATTCCAGAACATTCTTGCAGAAATGCCTCAAGAGCATGCTCAAGTGCTGATGACCGCTGCCACTGTGCAGGCGCCCGGTTGACATCACTTGCGATTTTAACTACATCGCAGAGGATCATTGCTTTCAGTGAAAAGTGAAGTGACCTATTTGTCTCCCATAAGCAGTATCGCCTGAGTTGTCAACTGGCTTATGTAAACAGAGACAACATAAGATTTTGCAGGGTGGGAATGTCGCTATGATTTGCTTATCGAACAACTTACCACGCAACATGCAATTAGAAATGGCAATAGGACTTTGTGGAGTCCAATACAGGCTGAAAGTGGGCTTGTAATAACCAATCACGTTCGAGAAGTTAGTTACAGTTTGGATTATCATAGAAATTAAAAGATAATAGAAAAAAACTCGTATTTGAAAATATGACCACGCACATCTGAAAGGTTAATGCAAATATCTTTGAATGAATTGAAAAGAGACTGGAAAGTGGTAGTTAAATATTTTTAATTTGTAAAACTTATTTACGGAATGCATTGTAACGTCATCACCGTTTGTAAGGTATTATTCATACAAACAGGTCTCTTTTCATCTTTTCATTTGACAATAGCACAGCTAAATTTACTACCAAGTACATGAAGCTGGAGAAAATGCATTTATCTGAAATGATATATTTAATAGTTTAAGTGACTTCAAGCTGTCATTGTGAACAGTCAATTAAAGAAGTGTATTTTAAATCTCGAGCGAATGGCAAAATCAAAAGAAGATGACAGAAATTTGATTACTTTATATTGGAATTGAGTTCTGAACGTATCTATGTTCTAACTTTGTAGAATTCCGTGTTCGGAAAAATCTGATTGAAGATCGAAAACAATTAGTTTACAAAAGCAGAAGAAGAATAAAAGTTATGGTATACCTTGACTAATGCGTCAGATTCGCTAAACTTTGTGCGTTTTCAGGAAATGCTTAAGATGCCCAAAGCTTTCCGAATATTTAATTAGTAGATCCATCTCTCAAAGCTTGCTGAACCGATGCTTTCGTTTGATAGTGCAGCTGGCAGTGCCCTCGGGCAATATAAAGCGAACCCTGTGTTTTGATTGCATGCTATTTTTAATGAAGTTGAAGAAATGTTTATTGGGTGTTGCTCGAGCAATTTGTCTGGTTTTAACAACCTTTTTACAATGGAGTAACTTATTGGCTCACCCTGGACTGGACGTTTAATTCATTCAGAAGGTGCGTATATAGTTGACCATCTGTGTAGATCTGTACACTTTTCATGAAGGTTTTTATTCTCATTGTAATTGTAACTTCTGTTTTCGTTGATATTCCAAATAACTAAAACTTGTCGCCGGTTTCACATATGGTTGGGTCTTGCGGCGTAAACCAGAGACTAAGTCTTTGTTGACTGAGGACCTTGGGATCCTTTAGAAGTGATTCACGTAACTGTTCCACGTATGGATTGAATTTCTCCACATTTTTGTCTTTGAGTCATGTCATGTTTTGTTTCATTTTCTCCGCGCGATCAGACAAACCAGAAACTAAGCTTAGTGAATTCTATTGTCGACTGTTTCTCGCTGATATATGTATGAATATATCTTATTAAACGTTTTTGTGTGTAAGATCGCTGGGTATTTTACGAGTTGTGCCGTATTTTTACGAGCCCGCCGGGTGAGTCAAAATACAAACAACTCGTAAAAACACTCGGCGATACTACACACCAAAACGTCTGATAAGTTATTTATAATCCTACTATTTTTCTGCTACGTCTTTCAGCTCATAAGGCGGGAAGAACAAAGCTGATAGAGAAGCGTAGCGCGCGCAGCCGACTGGTTAAACAGATTTTTTTTACAGTACAAAATAACCAACTGTCTAAATAACCGTAAAATATCGCAGAATATTTGTACTCTATTGGCGCGTTGTTTTTAGTTGTATAATAACTTTGAATACTCGTCATGCTACGATGTTCAGTTTTGCTGGGACAGTTACATGTGCGATTTATTTCCACTGAGAAAACCTGTTAAATTTCATCATGATCAATTGAATGGCAAAACCACCCCACTATTACACTTATCAACTCTCTCAGTAGTATTTTAAAATGACTGAAAAAAACAAACATTTATATCGACATATGGTTTTCACATATTGATTTGCTTCACGGTGTTTTGAAATTTTGTGTTCTTATTTAAATAACAAACAGTGACGATAAGGGTTGGTCGATGAACGTTTTGGAATGAAGGGAAACTTTCTAACTGTCTTTCATTATTTTGTTCTTTCGGTTTCAAAAGCATCAGACACGAAATTAACTTCTTGATAAGTAGGACTAATAGTCTTACATGGATACCCGGAGTTTCTTTTCCTTTTTTTTTCTGGACTACATCAACAAATTTCATGATCATTAAGTAACTTCGCATAAATAAGTACCAATAGAAAAGCATAGCTCTTGTATTTTATTTAACAAATAGAGAAGCCTTGACTGTACTCTGTTTTGTTTTAAAGCCCGCAGGAAGCGCCTAGAGCACGAAAGAAGTGTAGGGAGAAACACAAGACGTAGTCGAGTGTTTCTCACTTCTTGAGGGGGTAATCTTTGTTTGATTTAAAAAAAACGATCGAGAAAGTAAGCAAAGATGCATGAGATAATTCACATAACCATCTCAATGCTAATCCTGGCATATTTCTCGAAATATTCGCCATAATTTGCGTGAGTTTGTTTTTGTGTTCTTATTTCTCTTGGAAAAGCGTCACAGTCGCGCGATAGAGGGTAATTCAGTCGATGACGCTGCACTCTTAATTGAACCACATACTATTAACACTCCGACTTAAAGTTTAGTGGTATTTTTGAATGCCGTAATTGGTTGGTTTTTTACACTCGAACATATCAAAACGGTGTGATAAGAGTTTGTGTTGTTATATTAATAATACACAGCCTCAGTGAGGCAGTAGAAGGGCGAAAGTTTTGGAATGTAGGGGAATTTAATTGTTCATCTTTTTGTTGTTTCACCTTCAAAAGCATCAGTCACGGACTCAACATCTCGGTAAATATGACATGGAAACCCAGATTTATATCGGTTATTTCTCCACTGCATTTGCAAAAAAAAAATAATTCTTAAGTATAACTTTGAAAAGGTACCGTTCTTTCCACAAAGTCTAAGGTTAATATTGTTCCTCTTTGTCCTGTGACTATTAAGATGGGGTGCGTTGTACAATAATCGCCTCCAAAGTGAAATGAATTTTTTGAGCGATTGTGTCCATCCTATGTGGCTTCATATCTTGTAATTTATCCTCATCAGCTCAGTAAGATAAAATTCTTTCCAAGCAGCATATAGCCCAATGGTTAAGAATCACCACAACAATGTTCTAAATGTTGCCATTTTTTGCGGAATGTCAGAAAACTTTCTAGATTGCTTTTGCAGAAGTTTATCTCTTTAGCTAAGTTGGCAATGTAAACACTTTAAACTTATTAAATGACACCTTCAAACACTTTACTTGGTCATTGATGAGTTACATCTGTGATCATGTCTCGCTCTTTCATAACACGCAAGAGGAAACCGAAAGATTGATGCTCTCGATACAATCGCGCAAAAGAAATTCCATTATGTAACATAAATCAATGAATAGATGAATACATAAAATAAAAACTTAGAGGAAGCTTGATCATAAGAGGCCTTATTGCAAATAAATTTTGACCGCCAGTACAAAGAATTGAAGAACTACGCATGATGAAAGTGGTGTTTGACTGTAAGCTATTCTTTGCTAATTTCTTTGGATACTCGCTATGCAAAATTATTTATTTGCTTATCGCTATGTTTGTTTCATTTACAGCAATTTCCTTTTCTTTTCCGTCTAAAAACGAAGTTAAAATAAGTTACGCTATTTAGAGAAGAAGGTCTGTTAGAAAATAAGAAGTTGGAGAGAGAAGTTTTTCACTTTCCTCACGCGATCAAAGAGACCAAAAGGCGTAGTTCTAGTTCGACCACAAAATCCTGATTAAAAACTATTCGTCACAATGAAATTTTTTCAAAACGATCTGTGGAATGGACGTTAAGGGAATTCATGTGCTTCAGTTTTACCAATCCTCGCTTCTTTTTGGCTTCAGTTTCTATTGGTAGTTGCTATTGTTAATCCTAACACAACGAGCCTGGTACAGAAATTTCCCAGATCTGAGCGACTTTTCACATACCGCGTCCTGTTCTCAGAGACAGATAATGATCCGGATGATATAATTATTTGGATTGAATTGCTTTACTAAATATCTTGTTTACATCATTTGGTTTAGGAAACTACCGCGATGGAAAACATAGGAGAAGACATAATTGCTATGGCTTTACCTGTTGCACTGTTCTTGCTGAACACGAATCGTGTTCAAAAAGCTATCGAGTGTTGCAAAGAAAGCTTGTTTTTGATGAATTGCAACAAAGAAGAGAATGACTTGCAATCTATGAAACTGCATCTCTTGGAGTTCTATTTTATTCTTTTCCGCGCTTACCTTCGTATCTTTGACTACATAAATGTGGAGAGATGTTGCCGTGAATTGCTAGTCCTCTCCCACGAGTCTGGTGCCTTACTGATAGAAGGATTTTTAAGCATGGTTTTGGGAAATATATGTGAGATTCAGTGTAAGTTTACAGAAGCCACACAACTTTACAATAAAGCGATTAACATACGGGCTACAACAGGGGATAAAAAAGGAGAAGTAAACGCCTATGTAAGAATTGGAGCTATGTTTCATAAACTTGGTGAATACGTAAAGGCGAAAGAGTATTACGAGAGAGCTCTTCATATCACAATTCAAATTTGCGACAGAGATGGAGAAGCATTATCGTACTTAAACTTAGGAGCTGTGTTTTACTTACTTAGGGAAGATTTGAAAGCGAAAGAATATATTGAGAGAGCCCTTGCCATCAGAATTGAAATGGACAACAGACTAGAACAAGCGACATGTTACGGAAACTTAGGAGCTGTGTTTATGGGCCTTAGGCAATTCGTCAAGGCTAAAGAGTATCTCGAAAAAGCCCTTGCTATGAGGACTGAAATTGGTGACAGACTAGGAGAAGCAGCAGATTACGAAAACTTAGGGCACGTAAATTTTTTGCATAGGCAATACTTCAAAGCCAAAGAGTATTTCGAAAAAGCGCTGGTCATAAGAGCAGAAATTGGCGACAGAACAGGGGAAGCAGAAGGTTTCCTAAACTTAGGAATTATGTTTGAGTCACTTAGGCAGTTAGTCGAGGCTAAAAAGTATTTCGAAAAAGCTCTTACCCTCAATAATGAAATTGGCAACAGAAAAGGACAAGCAAAATGTTACGAACACATAGGAAGTATGTTTATATCGTTTGGGGAGTACATCAAGGCCAAAGTGAATCTCGAAACGGCGCTTGCCATCGCAACTGAAATTGGCTACAGAAAAGGAGAAGCGCTCTGTTACAAAGGCTTAGGAGATGTGCTTTGTAATTCGGTTGGGGATTATATCAAGGCAAAAGACTATGTAGAGAGAGCCCTTGCCATCACAACTGAAATTGGCGACAGAGAAGGAGAAGCATCGTGCTACCAAGGCTTAAGAAATGTGCTTTTTTTGCTTGGGGATTATAACAGGGCGAAAGAGTGTAACGAGAGAGCTCTTGCCATCAGTATTGAAATTGGCGACAGAGCAGGAGAAGCGTCATGTTACGCTGGGTTAGGAAGTGTGTTTAGGTCGTTTGGTGAAAACGTTAAAGCGAAAGAGTATACTGAGAGAGCCCTTGCCATCACAATTGAAGTTGGCGACAGAAGGGTAGAGGCGAATTGTTATGGAATCTTAGGAAATATATTTTCTTCCCTTGGACAATACGTCGAGGCTAAAGAGTATTTCAGAAACGCGCTTCGCATTAGCATTGAAATTGATGACAGAGAAGGAGAAGCAACATCCTATGCGAACTTAGGACATTTATTTACAATGCTTGATCACCAAATTGCGGAAGTATGTTTAGAGAAGGCACTTTACTTATTCAGAACTGTGAAAGTAAGTTACCTTGAGTTGCAAATCTTCTTCAGTTACTCGATATTATTTTTACAACAAAACAAACTCGAAGAAGCTCTTTTTTATCTACACCAGAACATTTGTAAATTCGAAGAGCAAAGAAATCTTCTTGGAATCAACGATCAGCTTAAAACATTATTTTTGGAGGTGAGAGGTGCGTATCCCTACAAGCTGCTTAGTTGGTCGCTCTGTGTAACCAGGAATCCTCATCATGCCCTTTACGTTGAGGAGTTGGGTCGAGCAAGAGGCCTATCAGACTTGATGGCAGAGAATTACTCAGTTGAAACGCACGTTTCTGCCAATCCACAATCTTGGTCTGGCATTGGAGACATCTTGAAGAAGGAAAGTAACTCGACTTGCTTGTACATTTCTGTTTTTGAAAATTTTGTGCAATTATGGATCATAAAATCAAGTGACGTCATCTTTTACAAAGAAATTCTAGTGAAAGAAAATTTCGTTCTAGCTGGGTTGACCAAGAATTTGTCTTTGGGTGAAATTTTGGTCGACAGTTTCCATAGTTTTGGTTGTTTGCCCATGGAAGAGTGCGAAGATCGTTCTTTACAAGTGGGTGAGCCGCAACCTATTTCACTAGAGCAGAGTAGCTCCAAAGCATCACGACTTCTAGAGGAAGACGACAATGAGGAGGAAATTTCAAGTATATTCTTGTGTTACAAAATCTTTATTGCCCCAATTTACCATTTACTTGAAGACCCAGAAGTCATTATCGTTCCTCATAGTAGCTTGTACAAAGTTCCATTTGCAGCTCTAAAAGAAAAGGATGGAGCCGCATACTTCTCGGAGAGTCATAGGATCCGCATTGTTCCTTCTTTGACAACACTTAAGCTCAATCAAGACAGTCCGGTGGACTATCACAGCAACAGTGGTGCACTGATAGTAGGTAATCCCAAGGTTGGTTGGCTGTCACCACTGCCATGGGCTAGAAAAGAAGCAGAGATGGTTGGAAGACTGGTGGGCACTGCACCTCTGGTAGGAGAGAGCGCAACGAAGCAGGCTGTACTTGAACAGATAACTTCAGTCAGCCTGATACATTTTGCAGCCCATGGTGATGCCGAAAGAGGAGAAATAGCCCTCTCCCCTAATCAAACCCCCGACAATCCAAAGATTATTCCGCCAAAGGAAGCCTATATGCTGACGATGGGTGATGTTTCACGAGTAAAAGTCAGAGCTAAACTGGTGGTACTCAGCTGTTGTCACAGTGCAAATGGACAGGTCCGAGCCGAGGGAGTTATCGGAATCGCCCGGGCGTTCCAAGCTTCCGGTGCTCGGTCGGTGTTGGCTGCGCTGTGGGCCATTTCAGACTCAGCAACAGAGAAGCTCATGCGTCGGTTCTACGAACATCTTGTTGGTGGAGAAAGTGCCAGTGAATCTCTTCACCAGGCCATGAAGTGGATGAGGAATAACGGTTTCACCATGGAGTCTGACTGGGCTTCATTTATGCTGATTGGAGATGACGTGAAGTTGGAGTTTGGCAAACAGAGGTAAGAATCAGTCAGACAAGGCGTTTGGCATAAGTTATATTATATGTGACGGTGGCTCTACCCAATTTCTGATAACGAGAAGAGATCCATTGACCTTATATAGTCTAACACTGAATATAACAAGCGATTGGAAATCTATTTAATTTTGTTTCGCAGAGCGACAATCAATCCATTGACTCCCAAAATCTGATTGGCAGTTCTGCCCTTTAGCTGCTACACATATCCTTGTAAATTAGTTATAAGAATTTAGTGTTGAATCAGGATAACAACTTCTACCTGATAAGTTTGAATATTATCATTAGCTGTTTGCAGGACAATATAAGGATATTATCGGGAGAAGTTTCATGTTGATCACTTCAGGGAGTTAGTGGGTTAATGATCTCTATTACGCGTAAAATATAGCATGTCAGAAGTGTTTCTCAAATTTCGTCGGGTTTTTACATTTGTTGTTATATACTTTTGTTCCAGGAAAGAAGACCTCAAAAATTAAAAGAACAAGAAAGACTCAGGGAAATAGAGCTGGAAGAACTCTGGATGTATAAATTAATTAGCAATCGTTGACTCAAAATGTGTGATTCAAAGGACAAACATTATAAATTATAGTGATATGTTCCGCATCTAGAAATTTTATTTTGTGAGGGAATTACTTTTGTTAGCTGTTTTGATTGAACAGACCAATGGAAACAATTATAGGCACTTTCATATATTTTATATCAATTATTACAATCATTAATTTCTCACATCAAATTAAATCATCAGTTTAGGAATTAAATGAGTCAATCTCCTGCATCTCTTTTCTTAATGAAAATTATTTTGTTTTTTGGTGAAAAAAAACTTTCATGAGTACAGAATGATTTTATCCTATTATCTTCACAGACACCTTTTTCAGTCTTCTTTAAGAGTGCCATTCCTTACTGCTGTTAGATTAGGAAATTGTGTGGGGATTTCAAAAAACTCCTTCCAAGATAGCATGTATATCTGTATACTTATATCAGTTATCGTTTTCAGCTATTTCTAAGTTCAGGTATTGGATTGATTTCTTAAGAATGTACAACTTGTTGATTTTGTTACCAAATGTTTTCTGAGTATTTAAAAGTTATTTAAGGTAACCTTTTAGATGCGCAAGTCAGTTTTGAACCTGCTTGAAAGCAATAAGTTTTTCTTGAAAATTTAGTAACCAATTTTGTAACAAGTTTTAAAACAGAGTTGCCAAAATAAATGCTAAGGTGGCTTTAGACTTGAACAATGAGTCTCACCAATTACTTAGTAGTAGTCAAATAATTAGCAAAACACATAAGTGACACACTCAGCTGCGCCTCGGGTGCTACATTTTGTTTCTTCCATATCTCAACCCCTTCTGAGATCTATCATAGAACAGATGGACAGTAAAATGGAATCTATAAGTCAAAGTGATAGTGGCACACAGCCGACAGCCATTTGAGGATATCAAAAGTCATTTTCAGGATGGAGTTTTTAAATGACACAGGTAATTTTTAATGATCTATTTGTGCCTTAGACCTTCAATGGCAACCTTTAGATCTTCCACCACAACATCAATATCTTCCTTGGTTGTGTCTCGTCCTACACTTAGTCGCAGAGCATTCATTGCAATGTCATGAGGGACTCCAATGGCAATTAAGATTGGAGATGGTCGTGAAACTACATCTGAGTGACATGCAGCACCAACACTTGCCTGCAGTCTTTGAACAGTGGCCAAGATTTTTCTTCCTTCCAGTCCTATACCAATAAATGATACATTGCATGTGTTGGGTATTCGCTCACTTGTCTCAAATTTCCCATTGACCTGAATTTTGTCTTGAAAGATCTCCTTCAGTCTGACCTCAAGATAGTCTCTTATCTGAAACAAAAAGATAAAGAGAGGAATTCTTGTAAACTCTGTTTTGTAAATACACACCAGCCAGGCCAAAGAGAAATCCAAACGGGGGATGGCACAAAGTCAAAATTGCTATGTGAAGCAGGTTTTACTTGTCTCTCATGGCTGTGAAAGTCACTTTAAACTCAACTCTTTGAAGGCACTTTCAACCGGCACTATTCACTCCCACCCATGAAAAGAGATTTCTCTCTATTTTTAAAAGGTGTTAAGTATGGGTGAAAGCTTCACTGTTGAAAAAATCCATATGGCTGTATAGATTGGATGCCTATGGACTACAGTTATTCATTATTTGGTTAGCCCTTTAAATGGCTCCTTCTTGGTGTAGAAGACACAGGACATATCACAAAAGAACACCATCCTATTAACCTATTGTTATCAATGGTTCACTTGCTCTTTTGCCGCTTTGTTCCCATTGTTTTATGTCGACTGTGTCTTCTACACTGAGTAAGAGCCCTAAGATCTAATTGATAATTCTCCCCTTTTATTTGCTACACATTTCCTTGAAAATGGGTTATAGGAATTTGGTATTTGATCAAGAAAAGAACTCCTACCTAATGAGTTTGAGTATTCTCATTACCTGTTTGCTGGATAATGTATGGATATTAGAGGGAGAAGTTGTGCATTAATCACTTTTGGGAGTTAAAGAGTTAAGTGACCACCCTGTGAATATCAAAAGGTTTCAGTGGACTTGATGTTTTTGGATTAATGTAGTTCTAAAATACACTTCAAACAATTACCAACCAATTTCATGTTTTTGTGGTACTGGTCCAGGTTTTCCACCACCAGCTGGGAGGCTTGCCCTAATCCAGCAATCATGCCAGTGTTTTCTGTTCCTGGTCTAAAATTCCTTTCTTGTCCTCCACCAAAAAACATGGGGTGTATAGGGGTGTGTCTTGTTGGATTTCTAACATACAGGGCTCCTGGTTAGAAAAAATAGCTGGTTATTAATTTTGCTACATGAGGCTATTTTTTCAGATAAGGAATGTGCAACTTGGTAATTGTGGAGAACAGCTCCCTAGAAAAACCTGTGGGCTGACAGATAATCAACAGGCCACTGGGAGGTTACATGAGGATTAACATCTAAGACAAAAGTATGGCTGTACAGATCACTGACAGATTAGTGACTATCACCTAAGTCTGCCAACTGTTGGCTGACTGTCTGCCAACAGGTTTTCTCAGTGAATTTTTCTTCACAATTAAGTGCAACTTAAATATGACATATAGACCTTAGTGAATTATATGTAGGCTTTACTGTTTCAATGCCTTAGAGAAAGAGAGGGACATTACTCATCTAAAATAATAAGTTATTATCCCCCAAAAAATTTAGATTACATTTTACAAAAGTCACCAGGTGGAGGATAGAGAATATCAACTGAAATTTTCAGGTAAAAAAAAATGGGAAGTTTTCATCTTTATAGTAATTTCCAACACCACTGGCAGCCGTTGTTTTATCTTGTTATATGCTCCCTCCCCATTGGTAAGGGAGGAAGCATGTAGTGTGACAAGACTAAACAATGCCTATGAAAGTGGCTAAGTAATATTGAATTTATTTAAATTTCATCACAAAAAAATTAATATACTAGCTGGTATAAAGCTGTTTTGAGAAAGCTTGTTGAAAAAAAATTGGGAAAAATTGCATGTAATAACCCCGAAAGGTATTTTGGGTAGTTTTTTTGGGTCACAGTTCCTTGATTTTCAAGTAAATCTGAGAAATTTTCACCATGAGGACAAAGAATCCTGGATTTAATTAATTCATTTATATATTTAACTTATTAAAATTCCCTGATTGCCAGATACCCAGATTACCTTTCAAAGTTGATGCATGCACATTTTTGCTTTTTTCAAATAATCTTTCCTAAAACAGCTGTATGATCCCACTTGAAGCAGTGCATGAAAAGCCCTATGTGACTCTGATAGACTGCTAAGTTCTCCTTCAAAATTTTCTCATATTGCCTTGTGAAGCACAAGGAGAATCTTATAGTGCATCACAAGTCACTTAAAGGCTTAAGTCTACACACCCCATCAATTCTAATTTCGTACCAATTCGAGGTCCATAGAACTTGTGTCCCACAACTGTGAGGTAGTCTACTTCCAAGTCATTCACATCCACTTTAATTTTGCCAATGGCTTGTGCAGCATCAGTATGGACAAGAATCCTGGGCATTTCCTGAGACAGACGACTCTTCATTAACCCCCTAATAGCCTTGCAAATGTTTTCAATTGGCTGAAAAATAAAAGATGTCATTCCTTAATCAGATACATTTGCTCAATTACTTACAAAAGATCCTTGCTAGTTCCTGCTCGAAAGAACCTCAACCACTCCCACCCTCACATAAGTATGCATATTCTCCATGCTAATTGTCATAGATTTCCTAAAGTACTGACCAGGAGAATCTAACAATCAAGAACTTCTTCAGTTGGTGATCATTTCCTTTATTCTCATGACCTTACTTTGTGATTCAAGGATGATATTGAAGAGAGAAATTAGAAGCTAGTCACTCTTTGGGATCAAATTGTTGAGGAAAGAAAAGATTCATATATGATGAACAGAGTGTAACCTTTTAGCTTTGTTACAGATGTTATCCACCTTAAACTACCCCAAATCAAAAAACTTCTGATTCTCATGCTTATCAATGCTAATGTTTGTACCACAGTTTTCAACAATGAAAAAACCTTGATCATTGTATAGTTACGAATGTGAGCAATGTAGTTCATGAGCCATTTAGCTGCCGTTAATTAGGCTTATCTCTTTCTCTGTTGAAACTTGTACATGTCCTTAATAGCTGAATTGTTTGAAATATCTCTGAAGGGAATACGGCTGAGTTTTTGGAGTTATGGACTTGTGGTCTGTGGTCATTAACCCAGTTCATGTTAATTATAGAACATCTGGTTTTAGTGATATATTTGCTCAAGCGATTACATAGATTCTTGCAATCTGGCGAAACAAGGATTGTTCTGTATCTTGCTATAATTAGCTTGTGAGAGGTGACTATAGCAAGGGCTTTATTAGCTTCTTTCTGAACATTTCCAGCCTGTTTAAAACTTTCTGGTAAATGAATGTGGACACAACCACTACAGTATATCCCATATCATTCAATTTTTTCTCTCTTTAATATGGAGTTTCAAGGTTGATCTAGTGATGTGTGCACCCAACTCCATGTCCATGTTCTTTGATGCATGAAAAGGTTAGAAGAAATACTACAATAATCACCTGAGCAATTATACTGAAATAATTAATACTGTTAAATAGTTCCCTTGCCATTCCTTGAGCAAATGGTTCAAGGATTCCCCTTTCTCTTTCAAGAAATGCTTGTTTTAAGTAATTTTTCACCTTACCCCTGAAGAGCCCCATTGAAATTGTGGTCAATTAAGTAATCATATGTTTGCCATTTTTCATGGCTATAAAAACCTTTAGGCTGCAGTGGAAAAATATTTTTTTTGATTGTTGTAATCTTCTGGCTATGAGGCTTCTTATACTGAGTTCCTTTATCTGGGTCTTCAAATAACAGAAAGATTTTAAATAAGATTGATCATGTTACCTGAATCACCCCTGTTTCATTATTTGCCATCATGACAGTCACCAAACAGGTGCTTGGTCTAACTTTATTTAATATTGCCTCTGTCGTCACTGCTCCAGAGTCTTGAGAGGCTGGGACAAAGGTCAGTTCTATCTTGCCTTGCTCTGCAAGATGCAAGAGAGGGAGTTGGATCGAATCATGTTCAAGATTTGATGTTATCACATGGGGTTTCATATCAGAAATATGGTTTTCCCTTTCTCTATGAAATTCATAGAAGTGTTCCAGTGCTGAAAGGATCACCATGTTGTTGGCCTCAGTACCACCTGATGTGAAAATGATGTCACCCTCTAATGCACCAATCATGTTGGCCACTGAAAGCCGAGCTTCTTTGATCACGTGACCTGCTTTCTTTCCTGCTGCATAAGAGCTACTAGGATTTCCCCAAGCATCTCGCAAAGCATCATGGATTGCTGTTAGGACAGATGGTTCCAGAGGAGTTGTGGCATTGTAGTCCAAATAAATTTTAGGCGAGCTTTCTGCGACTCCATTTTCCTCATTCACGTCCATTTTAATAGTCTTGATCCTAATAACTGTCAATATACCTCTGCTTTTCTCTCGACGGTGAGTTGATAAATTGGTGAGTTAAAATATATGCTGAATAGTGACAGAACAGAATGGACACGAATTCTTAAATTTGACTGTGCGGAAAAGGCTATGAAATGAAATTTCGTGGAAACTAGTTATCAGGCTCCGGTGAGAGCAGTCATGAGTTGGTCAGATCATGAGTCATCATCGACTCACCCTACCCTAGTAAGGAGATGTTCAGTTATGGCGGAAGAAGATGAAGCAGGTCTGGTTGATTTTGAGGAAATCCCTGATGTTTCGTACGACCCAAGAAGCGAACTGTCATCTTTTCCCCCAGAAGATGAACTTACAACGTCTGGTGGGAATTTTTCGTTCCTTCATTCCTCTGGAAGGACTTCAGACGAACAGCAAAGAACTGTTCCAGATCTGATACTCGCCGTCTACGTCGTGCACTTTGATACAAGACGAGGTAATACGCACGGGTTTTTTTTTTCCTCAGCACCCAACTATATTAAAAACTTTTCTATTTTCGGGATCTCCAATGATAAGGCAGATTGTGAACATAACACTTAAACAAGTTACTGAATGTTATCTCTGATGTTGGTCAGTAGGGCAAAAACATACATAAATTTATTTTCCAGGCAGTTCAAATTTCATTATCTTTTTTCCAATTTCCTCCTCCTAACGATGCATCTCAGCTACATTTAGACGTGATCTGGCTTTTTGAAACTAAGGTTTAATTAAAAAAGCTTTCCTTGGTCACTTGACATATATCATCAAAGTTCTTTTTTAACGTGAGGTCAATTCCTAGTAGTTCCTTTTTAAAGTGAGAAAGGGATAATTTCCCATTTCCTTTTACCTTCCCAAGGCCAGGAGCAATATCCAATCAATAGGTTTTTACTCTTTACTTCAGAGCTTTAGGTGTAAAGTGGTTGCTGTTTAAATTCCCCTTTTTCAGGTTTTAGTTCTTTTAGCATGAGTATACTTTGACATGTAAGTAATCTGAAAGACATAATAGCTCTGGGCTCAGTTGTTCAAGGACAGATATCACTATCCAGTGGATAAGTCGCTATCCAGTAGATAAAAGTTAACAAAAGGTTCTGTGCTATCCACCAGAGGGCGATTTATCTAGTTAATGGCATTAAACACCCTTCAAACAACTGAGGCCTGTTCTTTTTCTTATCTGTTATTGAGTTTTTTTCTCTATTTTAGTGTCAAATTGTAAATGTTATTAAGAGCATTTACTCAGAAGCCCCGTGGTTTCTACCAGCCTTCCTTTCCATTCTTATTGTATTGTTCATAACACTTGCAATTTCATTTTTACTGCCAATAAAGCTGGCATAAATGTAGCTTGAATTTGTAAGACTTTGAAAATGCTTTACGTCACATTACCTATCTCCTTCATAAAACATGAAACTGTCAGCAATAGGAACCACAGGTGCCTCCTTTTCCTTGTGGTGCATAGCTGTATTTGAAATCATAATCCAGAAGTAAGAGCACATCAAGTTTGTTACTGAGATTCAGACAAAATGTACACATTTTACCTAGGAAATGAAATTGAATGGAAACATCCCAAATCAGTGGATCTAACTGGTGTGGAATTCAAAGCTTTGGCCAGTGGTTCACATACAATAACAAGAGACTTTATGTAAGTACTAAAAAGTAGGATTCATTTTATTCTCTGTATATTCCAACTTCAAGAGATATTAAGAGTGGTTTTACTAAGGGAAATAAGTACATGAAAACTGAACTTTCTTGCTTCATTTCTTAACCCTTTAACTCCCATGAGTGACCAAGACAGAATTTCTCCTTACAATATTAATACAATATGAAGCAAGCAAGTGATGAGAATTTTTTTATAATGTAGTCTTGGCATTCAACAACTTTCTTTTATGTCACAAAATAAACTTAAAAAACTTTCTTGAACTTGACTCAATAGGGGTGATTTGGACAATGAAAATATTATTTTATCAGTTAGTCCTTATTGTTAAATCCACTTGCAAACATTTGTTTAAAGTTCTTAAGGCAAGCTATCTTTTTCCTGTGATAGATACTTCAAAACCAAAGATGGTCTCTATGGGTTGAGTTGTTTTGAGCGTATAGCTGTTGATAATGTGGCGGAGAGAGGAGCTAGAATGAAATCAGTAGGGATTCTTTGTGCAAAGTACACATCTCTACATGAACACATGCCATTCCTCGAAGAGGAAGTAAGGTAGTGTGACCTTGTTTTTTGTATCCCAATCAACCCTTTAACTCCCATGAGTGACCAAGACAGAATATCTCCTTACAATATCAATACAGTATGAAGCTAGCAAGGGATGAGAATAAAGAAAATTATCAATTGAGGGATTATTGGTAGATCCAATACCAAATTCTTTAATCTAAAATCATAAGAATTGTATGGCAGGCAGTAAAGAGAATTACTCATGAGATCTTGGAATAAAACTGTAAGTAGGTTTTGAGATAGAGATGGGATGAAATGTTTTTCAAAATTAAAAACCTTTTGTACCCAAGTGCAATCCCTATATTGTCTCTATGTTTTAAATTACTGTAATATTGAACTCTCACTAAAATCTATTGGATTTTGTTGTCTAAGGCCTGCTATATGTTGTGGTTCAAATGTTACTTATCTTGGTGTGAAATTGTTAGAGCAGTTTCATTTTGATTTCCCTTTGTTTCAGCTTGTTACTGAAGATTATTAGTTTAAAGAAAAAATAATACAAATTTAACTGGCGTAAAAAAATTGAAACCTTGAATTTTATATCACTCTAATTTTCATCCTAAACCTTTGCAAGTACTTTTTATATAATTTGCAGGAGGCAGCTTGAAAACCCTGGACATTATGAGGATCTTGAAAACTATTACAATTGCTATAAGAACTGTGTGCTTAAAAATAATTACATTCCATCTCCAACTCATGAGAAGGCTCCTGGACTGGAGGAGATACCAGTGTTAAAGGTATTCCTAAATTTATTCCCAAATTTGAATTTTGTTAAAGGAGTTGTGTCACTGTGTGATGATTCAATTAAATCAGAGAATTACTCCTAAAACAGATTAAAAGCTTGAAGCGATTGCTCACCTGAGTAATCAAAAACCAAGGAGGACATGAAGAATCAAAAATAATATTCCCATGGAAAAAAAATCAAGAACTTGTGATATGTTATTTTCTTCCTTTACATCAAGCAAGCTGTTAGAGCAAATATTTGCTTGAAACTTTGGGGAAAAACTATCTTCAAACAAATTTCTCCTTGAAATTTTTATAGGCAAATTATAATTTAAACAAAATTACACTCATAATTTTGGGTTGGCTGAAACAAAAGCATCTTAAAAGTTTGACAAATTTTCTTGAAATTGTTGAGGTGAGCTAAATTTCATCATTTTACAATGAAAAGTCCAGAAATTCAGCAGGATTGCTTAATTTTGAGCTTACTGGTAAATAAGTATTACTTATGCACAATACTGTAAGTAGTAGCTTAAAGTGCAACATACCACACCACACCATGCAGCTGAATGTCATATTCTGTGAACAAGAGTCCACTTTGACTCTAACTATGAAATAGTTACAATCACCAGCTGAAGTGACTATTGGCTTTTGACCTGTGTAGAAAAACTTTAAATTGTTGTCTGATGATTTAAATGATTCCTTTTTATGCTTTTTTTGGTTATCAGATCACACACCCAGCTGGATGTTTCCCTCAGTTTATCAAGTTCTTTGGAGAGCAAATTTTTGTTCTCTGGAAATTTGTGTTATTACAGAAACGTATTTTATTCTTTGCACCTCCCCCTGTTGGAGTGGCTTGCTATAGAGGTAAGGACCTATCATATTGAAAAAATTAATTGTTAGGGAGTAATCCCTTCCACTTCATTTCAGGGATTATTCAGCAATGATTCCCTCCAGCTGTGGTAAATTACAGTTGAATACAATTGTATTTAAGAAATGGTCAGCATGCAACTACAACCATCAGGTGGTGGATGAGCGTGGGAGGTTGCCAAGCATGAAAGAAGCTTAAGAGTTGCACTTGGCTATTGCCTTGTGGGACTCTTACACTTCTTTTGTGCTTGGCAAATCTCCCAAGTGCGTACATAACTCGCTGATTGCGTGCTGCACTCTAACCATTTCTTTTATGACATTGGGACTTGAAAACATCTTTCATTTCTTGTAGGAAAAAAAAGCAAAACAAACTGACCTCAGCATGCAACCCATGGGCAAAGGGATCAAGTGTATTAGCCAATAGGAGCGCATGCTTTTTTAAAGCTTTGTTACAAATCATTATGTCAAACCAGCAAGACACTGTGCTCCAAGATATTAAGGTTATATATGTGGGAGGATTGAGATACATCAGTGTTGAACCTCAATGTTTCTTGCAGGAAAAATGCTTTCCACTTTAAAGATGGTTTAATGTCTGTTAGAAATCTTTCAATCACATCTGCACTGCCCCAATTCATTTTGTAACGAGAGCCAGTCCCTCATCTGCTAGCAAACTTATTGCCATCATTACACGCTCATTGTAATGTGATACTCTTCGTAGCTGCTTATATTGTAGCATACTACCAATAATTTTAAAGAAACCAACATTTATAACATTGTTATACTCAAATCATTTGATAAACAAAATTCTTTACCCAACAGTTTACAGTGCTTGTTTGTTGGCAAGTCATGGGATTCCATTTGGTTTTGAAACTGGTAGCAACCCATTATTTTTTACAAATGTTTGTGACTTGAGTGCACTACATGAAGAACACAAATATATTGCATGTAAGTTTTATTTTGTCATAAATAATGCGCTTAATTAATATTTTTTACTTGTGTAAGTTCACCTATTTATTATTATTGAATTTTTATCATGGGCACAAGACTTGGGAATATTCTTTTAGTTGTCTTTAGTTTTATATCTGGAAAGGAATACATCCTATAAATTAATAATGGTCTAAATAGAAACATTACCTTGGTCTTCCATATATTAAGCATACCTGTTTTCAATGAGAGCACTATCAATGCATAGATTAATCAAGTAGATCCTGAATGTTTTTAGCATGGAACTTGTTGGTATAAGTCAGTTTGTTGTTTAAAAAGCTCAGTGATGAAGGTGACCTCAGAAAACAAATTTAGTTGAGAGGCAGGGTGTAGGAGTTGACCTGGGACCTCCAAATTCATAATCAAATACTCTGAACTATGGCACACCTTTCCAGTCAATATTCAAACTATTTCAATGTGTGTTGCATTATTTATGATTCTGTGCCATATTTTCTATTCATTTATAAATAAAGAACGCATTTAAAAACAAAGAGAATCAAAACAAAATCAATTGGCTAAACACTTACATATAAATCAGTAGGCACATATTAAATAAAAAATATAAAAGCCAAATAAAAAAATAAAACATATGGAAAGGAAATAGAAAATATGGTACAGAAATATTGATAATGCATCACATGTTAAAATAATTGAATATTGACTTGGAAGGCTGGATCAATATCAGTATCTGGGCAACTGCCCACCTAACCCTCCCCTAACTCAACAACAGTCAATTGACAACAAGTTAAGGTTAATGTTGGGTTAGGGGAGAGGTAGGTGGGCAGTTGCCCAGATACTGATATTGATCCGGGAAGCCATAACAAACCACTGGTTTATACTGCCCTTTGCTGAGCAGTGAATCTTTGCCTGAGTTGGGTACGTTTTTCAAGGTAGCAATATTACAAGTTGGAAAAATCTTTAGAAAAGCTGTCTTTAGATGTTTGAAAGTTGAACAAGTGATCCTCCACACCACTTATTGCTTAGTTAGGCTAGTTTCATAGTGCTGAATTTAATCATCTCAAAATCTCTCTTTTGTTGCTTGTTAGGTACTACAGAAAAGATATTTGAGAGCAAGTTAGAGGTGTATGATGTTTATGTTGATAACCAGAACATCAAGTGCAAACCACACTTGAGTTGGATCGCAAACTTTAATAATGCAGACAGGGATAGGTTAGAAGAACTGGACTCTTTCAGGTGAGTACTGTTAGTAACCATGCAAAGGAACAAGTCGATGCATGGATTAATTGAACCGTTCACGTAGGTCTTTTGACTTCAACGAATATTGTCGCTTGCGCATGATTGGTGTAAACTGGTCACATGTCTGAATATGCTGTGGCTGAATAGGGAAAAAATCCGATGATTCTTCCCAAATTGAAAACGCTTTGTTCAACTCTTTGTTTAAAGTCAGTTCAATAAGGAAGAGGGTTATGTAGCTGATCTAGATGAACAAACGAAGAGCCGAGAGGACATTGAACACAGTTTTTCTCAAGCTTCACTATTGGATAACTGTTCGCTGCTCACATCTAATAATGCCATAGACAAATATTCGATTATGTTTCCCTACTAAATGACAACCATTGTTTACTTATAAATGTTCTCTAGTAACTTTATGAGACGGGCATATTAACTCATTAGTACAATTTCTGGTCTACATTCTGTTTTCAAGTTGTGATAGAATTGCAGTGGCTTATTTAATTTTTTTCTTGGTCTTATCTAAGCCATTAATGGTCAATCTCTGATAATTTGAAGTTAGAAAAATTCACGATAAACAGAAGTAAATTATTTTTCTACCTGTACATGTCAAGGCAACAACAGCTGTACACAGGAGGTGAAGTAACAGATGATGAAAAAATGTATACCAGGTGAGTAAAAATGTACCTTTTTCAATTAGAAGTTTCCCCCCGTGTTTGTATTTTGACGATTGGTGACAGCGTACTTGATGATCAGAGCCTGAAAGGCTGAAGTGAAAGCCCTGCAATGCTTTTTTTCTTTTAGAAAGAAACTCACAATTAATTAAAAACGCGACTTTATTTTTCATTTCTGCTTTAAGTTTTATGACACAGCCATGCAAGCGAGGTAGGCTTTTCCCGGTGTCCCAGCGGATTTGCACCCCCCATAGATTTGGTCTCCCTGGACCTCCATCATCGACTCAGGAAAAATTCTGAGTAACCGTTAGGAATCGAACCTCAGAGCTTCGGATTCTGCGCTTCGATGCTCTACCACTGAGCCAAAGAAACTCTATGGTGAGCAAGGCCATTACGAAGTTCGTATATGACACGTGTCCTGCATATTGCATGGATCAGTAATGTCGACAGTGCCATATATGAATTTCTTAATGACCTTGCTCGCCGTAGAGTTGCTGTAGCTCAGTAGTTCAGTGAGGTTCGATTCCTCACTAAGACTCAGAATTTTTTTCTTTGTCCCATGCTCGTGACAAGACAAAAAGACAACTTTCGCTATTTTTTTACCCGAGCTCAAAATTTACTATCTCTCTTACGTTCTGCAAAGAGCTAACGTCGTTCATTTCAACCCAATCCGACTACATATGTGTCAGTTTTCATGGTTGTTTATACTAATAGGATTGCATGAGCAGGGTCGTAAAGGTCATTTGACGAATAGATCAAAGATTGACCTGTTCATGATTACGATTAACAAACTGAAGCCTTGAAAATATATCAGGCTTTGACGAGAGTAGAGGCCTTGTGCTCCCGTTATGAAACAGTAGGTTGGGTGCGAGGCCAATTTCAATTTCAATGGGTTCTTAGTTTCCTTAAAAGGGGAAAATTAATTCTTTTGCTGAAGATTTTAATGCCTATCTCTTTCCTCTTAGGTTCTTTGTGAATTTAAACAATTCACTTTTCCAGATGCTTTTCGAGGTCGCGTCTACTCAAGAGAGAGTTTTAACACCAGACATGATCCGAAGCATAGGACTTGATCCAAAGGGAGATCTTCGTTTTTTGTCGGATTTGGTGGAACTGTATGGAATTAATGTCTTGATTCCAGAACCAAAATGCTGCCCGTTTTACTCACCTCTGTAATCACAGTTCTGTGTGCAGACCTCTTACTCCTCAGGGGGGTCTGGTGAGAAAACATCCAGTAGCTGTACGTCACGACATCAACAGCTTAGAAAAAATCTTCAGAATATGTTCTGCGCGTGCACTGTTCGCGACAAGAAACAAACGTGCTACGATTGTCAGATGCTTGCTTAAAGCAAAATATTCAAATTAATTCATACATACTGGAATTTATTTCTCAAATAATCGTAGTGTTATCTACCTTCAAAGCCCCAAAATTAGACTCTTTTAGATGCGCATTTCAGGGATAAAAATGCATAGACTCCATTCTTGATTCAGGTATGAATCGTGAATATTTCTTAATTGCTTACCATAGTTTTTTGCCCATCGAGCCGAGTTACAAATTTCTGTACGCTGTTACACTTTAGTGGTGAATAATGGTTTTGGTTACAAAGGACGTACCTCTAAAATAGAATTTTCAAGGTCCACCTAAAGATAATTCATCCCAGTCCATGGGAAACAAAAATTTTAGTATGTCATGTTTTAGTGGAAATTTTTGAAAATTCCATATAGAAAGAGACCATAAAGTTAATATATTAACCTTTTAACCCCTGAGAGTGACTGGCTTCTAAGTTCTCCTTTCAGCGTCACCCTTAAATCAAATGTTAAGGTCAAGAGAATCAAGTAAATGATCACTAATTTAAGAAACTCCTGATTGTTAAACAAATTCTCCTTGTCAGTACCATAGCTCTTCCAAGAGTAAAGAGGTAAATACTAGTGATGCTGTACAGGTGAAAAAGTAAGAAGATATATATGGAGTAACAGTACACGATACGATATAATATGCACTTCGCCTACTTCACACTCCCGGTCAGCGGAGTCAAGCGAAAGAGAGGGCATATAAAAACGCTAAAGTGTGCCGTTTCTCCTTACAATTACTAAGCGTCGTTCGCTTACTGTTTTGAATTTTCCACTCGGCGAGGGACTGGAACAGGCTAAATTGCACTAGGAAGTGCAATGCGGACATAATGAAAACAAAGGTTTGGCTTCATGCGTTTAAATGACAAGTACTGTTTTATGCGTGAGAAATAAAATGCACTAAGGCCACAACACAGGAGGTCCCTTATTTTTACTCACACCATCCCTTCTTTCCGTTGGCCAATTAGCACGTTTTACCGAAGACCTAGGGTGAAAATCTGACATGGCTAACAAAAACAATTAAGGAAGTCAGTGGAAGTGAAGTAAACAAATGGGCGACCGAAGAGGTTTATTCAAATGTCTAAAGTTAAACTTTGAATACGATCTAGTACCTTAGTACGATTTTCAACAGCTCTTGGCGGCTATGGGACGTATCGATAATGTCAAATGATCAGCCAATACGCCGTTTCCAAGAATGTTGTTTGTATTTACAAAGTTTGTAGGCCTAAGATTACAGTAATTACAGTTAATTTGTTTGTGACAACCTTTTTCACTTCTCATTCTGTTTAAATGAAAACTATGCACTTTTCGACCTAATGAAGAGACACGAAATTTAACAATTATTCACCGATGTGGAGGTGAATAAAGGTACTTCACGGCTAGGTAAATATCCACCACTTTCACCGACACTGAGGTGAATAATTGTTAATATATACCACACAGAAACCAAAAACTTAGTTTATTTCTGTCATTGTACCACAAATTGTTGGAAATTAAACTTAAGACGCGCGAATTTGGCTCACTGGCAGATCAGAAGAAAATAGTATTTGCTATAAACCTCCGAAGTAGCCAATCAGCGGGCGCGAAAAGTACTTTTCACCTGCTGCGTGATATATACTAACAGCTTATATAACGAGTATCTTGAAAAACAAACTTTTAGTTTCAGTTTGATGGTCAGTTTCAAACATTGCGAGAATACCAATGCGTCCTTCGACAGTCACTGTGAGCTCTACTAAGGAACTAAAACCTTTCGCACCTTGCTCTAAGCGACGCACGATTTCGCCTTCTTTAGTATAGATAAGCACCTGAAGCTCTTTTGTCTGTGGACGGAAACCAGCGACAACAATGTGTTCACTTGGCCAGTGAAATGCTGTGTAAAATGGATAATCGAATTCTAACATTTCTGTCAACTTAAAAATCTGTTCGCCGTTTTCATTAAAAACGTGAACACAGGAATCGCCATTATCGCCACTATCTGTCACCAATGTTCGACCATCACTTGCAGCGGCGATATTAATTGGACTCTTCAGTATTCCGTCACCGAAGTCATCAACAAATTGACCATCAAACTGATAAACTTGAATGGTTGGTTTCCTCTGTGAGTAATTCGGTTGTGTTACCAGAAGTATCAGTACTTTGTTTCTGTCACTGACTGTCAGTGATGGTCTGAACGCAACGGTGCTAAATTCCTCTTTTAGTGAAAACTTGTGCAGGGGTTGAAAATTACAATCAAACACGCACACTGCTCCGGGATTGTTATCTTTTAAGATTGACTTGACACAAGGCTTTAGTTCGACTAGTACATAGATCTTGCCATTCAAATCAGTAGCTACTTGACATATGCAGTACACATCGTCACGAGAGGCATCCGACATGAGAGAGAAACTGTTCAAAACTTTACCTCTGCTGTCAAATAACTTGGCTCTTTTATCTCCGTCGTCGTTCGCGACGAGGAACTGTCCAAGGCTGTTGGAAGCAATACTTACTGGCCATATTAAACTTCCATACTCTCCCCGTAGTAATTCCAAAGTTCCGAAGCAGTGCTCCATGCCTCTTTTCTTCAGGACTTTTAACACTCTGTCATTTTGTAGTGGAGAAACTTTTATTCCTCCGATTTCAACACATGGCCAGTTTGACAGCTCCTTGTGACCGAAGTCCGCCATGAGCGCGATATTCAATATCACGCGATTTATATGACACACAGTGGAGATCAGGTCTCTTCGTAGGTCTTTGCTAAATGCAGCCTTAAGCCCTTTCTCGAGTTCAACTTTAAAACCTTTTTGAACAGCTGGCAGACTATTCAACTCTTCAAGGCACACTATGCAGGCTGCTATCGAGTATGTCGGATTGTCTACAGTTTCTAATATTGTTGCCATAACACGATACTGCATGGATAGAAGGCGGTCAGAGGTTGACAAGGCTGTGTTGGCGAAAGCTTCCGTCGCCTTCCTTCTTGCGTCTTTGAATCTGTCTTTTGCCCTAGATAGCGCCCCGGATGCTGATGCACTAAGATCCCCAATCTCTAGCTCACTCATTCCTTTTGTAAGAGAAAATGTTTCAGCAGCACAAGTCATCGCTGTAGCAGCTTGTGTTGTTGTTACGGCGTTGTTATTTTCGCCTTTGGGCCTCGCTTCGTCGAACATCTCATACAAAAACTTGATTCCTTCGTTAAAGAAGCTTATACTTGCTAACAAATCCTTTCTTGCTAATCCATCCAGCTTTGATTTGATTTCTTTTATTTCACGAATGATGAAATCACGACACTTTTGATCTGTTATGTCACCTTCTTTCAACGAGTCTGCTAACTTGTCCCTGAATCTATTTCCAAGCAAGCCGATGGTAAGTTTAAACACGGCTATGACGATTGAAGACATCTTGTTAGTTGAACAAAGGTTGGAAATTCTTGCTCCGCGATAAGTGTTCCGTCTTACTCCCAGCAGCTTTGCAAAGACCCTTCATTTAAGGATTTCGCTTACGAAGCACATCGGTAGACAGAGAAGTAAACGGTACAGTTACGCTTCCGCGAATTGATTAAATTCTCGGGAATTATGTTTCAAGTATAAATAAACACATTAACTGTGGTATTTCTTGTAGAGCAGCTTTCAGTCCCTGCTAATCTTGTTTTTGGCCATTTGCTTCCTGTATTCTCTTGGTCTAGTATGAAAAAGCCATTTACAGCGCAGAAACTCTTCTTAAGCGAAGTTTCCGTACATAACTCAATGCAGACCATACTACAGTTCGAAGCCAATAGATCAAGCCAAGTTTCCGTACATAACTCAATGCAGACCGGCACAGTTCATTGCGTATCACTTATGGAACTCTCTGGATCTCGCTAGTTTACTGTCTAACTGAATTCGCAGGAGTTTTGTTGAAAGCTTACGCAAATCCATCGGCTCTCACCAGGTCATGAAGAACAAAAATATTCGAATTGTTTTCATTCTTTGCATATCCCGTTTGTGGTCAGCATCTTGCTTGTTAGTTTGTTTGGTGCCAAGAAAAGAAGAAAAGCCTTTTACAGGACAGAAACTAGTGTTACTCTTTGGCTTCGCAAAATATTTTTACTTAAAGAATTCTGTCAGCAAGGCACATCTTGAAACAAAGAAGTGGACTTCACAGTTCATCAGTTGTGTATGAATAATTATTAATGGAACTTGCTAATTCAATTTCGCCTTCATAAACTAAATGAAGAGAGGAAATTATGTTTCAAGCACACTGAAACACATTGGCCGTTGACGGGTCGTGTGGCAAGGGGCACAAATCGATGTGCAATAACTGTTTTTAATTTTTATCAATCCTGTTTGTAGCCAGTGGAGTGCTTAATCTCTTTAGAATCGGGAAGTAAAGTCATTCACAGCTTGTCTGCTTTGTCTGCGAGCAAATAGGACCATTCATGCCTATCATCTTGCCTCAGGACCAATAGATCAAGCGAGCAGTGATTTGCTTCTAAGACAGACGCGCTTGTTTTTCAGCATTGAATCGGTGCTTGTACAAATCTTTCGTGCAACTTTTTCTTTATGGTTTTCGGCTTAAGACACCTACACTGAAAAATTAAATTTTGATCAGAGCTCAAGAATGGCTATGGCTGAATTAGGGCTCTGATTATGACTAATCAGAATAGAGAATTACGAGCAAATGAATTTTGTTTCTCCTATTTTACTCTCAATAAAGCTTTATTCGCTAAGAAAGAAACAGCACCAAAGTCTGCTCAACGCAAGCTTAATTAAATTGATGACGAGGGTCAATAATCAGAGGTGGAGATCTTTAATGTAACTGAAATAAAATACAAGGTAGTCTTAAAGTGTCCGTAACTTATTGATCGTTTCCTTTATTCTTATTGCCTGTCTTGACATTTGAGGAGATCTTAATGCACCCAGAACTGGCCGGAAAGTCGGTACTTTTCGTTTTGGTACATGAATTAGAGCGATAGTTGAGTGAGGAGACTATTACAGTAAAAAAGTCGGAAGGAAGCTTCTTTCGGCAGACAAAACAGATTTATAGTTTTACTTATTCCTGCTCTGTTTGAGTTGTCTAGTCACCAGTAAAACCACCAGAGTCCGTTGTTATAGCAACCATAACATATAGGAAGTATTTTGGTGGAAAAAGCGCAGGTTGATGTCATAGATAATTCATTGACGCATCGACAAAACCCTTGTAATAACTTCTGTTCTTCGTATACTTCAGTAAGAAACTACTTTTTTAAAAAATCCCACGCACAAAGTTATTCAAGTGTGGTTGCAAGATGGCTGAACCTTGAGCGAGCTTTTCCTAACGAAAAGCGCGTCTCCAGGCGATGATATCTTTAAACGAGTTCAAGAACACGATACATGGTCAGAACACCGTGATTTATGGCTTTTGTAGATCCTGTCTTGATTCTCGGCCTGTTTGTGTTGAGATTCACGTTTTGCTCTGGTAGAGTTTGTGAGGCGGATAGAAATACAAACGGCTGCAGTACACCTATGGGAATCAACGCACCGTTTAAGAGAGAGTTCACGCCGGCTTGTGACAAACACGACATATGTTATGGATGTGTAAGTGTGTTTCGCTTGAGTGCATAACGAAGAACGTGTCCGTTGAATTGCGTTACGTCGTAATTTGTGGAACTCTTCACCAAAAATGTTATACTTTGTGTCCAAAATGGGAAGGAAACGATCAATGTCATTCCTCGTTCACAGTTATCATGTTTACTACTGAAATTGCTTTGAGAAAATTGGTTATTTATGTCACAGTAACAAATTCCGTCCTCTTACATAAAGACCGAAAATTTATCTAACCTCGAATATTGATAAAGGTGCCATGATTTCCCCGCAAAGGAGTAACGAATATATTTGATCTGACAGCCATGTTATCATGGGCCCAAAGTTAAAAGACCTTAAAAGGAATTATGCGACAATGGACTCTTATAATAAAAAAGAAACTTGAACAGTTTTTCTAGGTTATTATTAAAATTCGCATAACGTCCGTAGCCAACGTCTTAGAGTTGCGCGGCTTTGGAGATCATACCTGTCAAGAGAAAAAACATACAATTAAGTTGTCTGTGTATAAAGGCAAGCTTCCACCACATCAAACAGATTCAGATATTAAAAAAGGGACATTAGAATATGAACAGTGCTCTCTACATATTTATTGGCACGAAAGCCATTCAAATTTTTTTCCACTGAATTTTAAATTTGAAGATCGCTAGGCAGTTAAAATAATGGAGTTTTTAAAGCGTATATTCTATCCCGAGAAGTCAGAGTTATACTCATAAACATATTAATACCTGTTAAATGATATGTTCCACAGGGTAACCACTATAACTGGACTCGAGAGGCCTGCGACAAAGCGCTACTTCGCGACATGATACAGTCCTGCCATAGGCGTGTACACAGCAGAACCAGGCGTGGCGTTATGGATGCCTTGTTGGACATCTGGTATTTCTTTCAAGGAATCAGCAAAGAAGAGAGAAGATGCAAATTGGCTGCGGAAATGTATTATAAAATTGTACGCACTTTTGGTGCCTCGCACTTCGAGAAGAAAGATCACATCTATTGCATTAACACTTGCGCGGATCAACATGGAAGTCCTTTTGTAGAGCTATAGCTGTCTCATGTTCATACATGCCCGTACTGCAGGTCATTAATTTAACAAGGAGCCCAATTGCTGAACAGAAGTGAAGACTCGATTCCTGGGGATAAAATCTTTTAAGGGTTATATCATTACTATCATCAATTCTGATTCAGGTTCAGAATAGTCAGGATTGAGAATTGGAGAATTGACGTTTAGTTTTCTCAAGGTAGACCTTGAAAACATTACGAGCATTCTTGGTACATTGCGAGCGAAGAGGGAAATCATGGAAAGCTAGGAACATCACTGACTTCTAATAACAGAATTAGGTTTGTGACTCATAGGGCCGGAGAAAACTTGACGCCGATCGGTGGTCATGATCTCAAGGGTTATTTACGCACTCCGCGCGCATGTCTGCTCGAGCACGGACTTTAGGAACTGAACACGAATACACGCTAACAATACTAAAACCTTATATGTGGCACAGAACTTGAGACAACAGCAGAGTATAACCTGCGATCAGACGTTCTTTTTTCGGAGCGCGAAAGAGTAACAACACAAGTAGACAAGAGTCCGTCTTTCTCGCATTTCCTTCCCCCCCCCCCCGAAAAAAGAACACTTGATCACATGTTTTGCGGTGCATAAAAGAGAGAATTAAATTTCCCATGATGGCCAGTTTGAAATGATAATTAATATTACGCCTCAAGAGTACACAAGGATGCTCAACCCAGCACTACCCGAAACCAATGGTGACGTTAGGAAAATCACTGGATCAGCGTGAAAAGGCGAAAACTAATTATAAAACGGAACTTTTACGCAAAATATGACAACCTGCTTTTGTTTACTGATATAAAGGAACTCTTCAGCATTCTATTGTGTAAATTAAACTACACTGCATTTACTGTATATAATTTCATTCTGAGATAGGTTTAGTACAGGCACCCTCCACGTAGCACAAAATAATCAACGCGAAATGGTGAGTATTCTTTCTTCTGTACTGAGCGATGCTTGATCGATGATATACCTTATTTCGCACGCGAGTGCTGAACCTTATAAAATCATCCATCTCCTTAATAAATTTCGGTATATAAAGTGTTGAATTTTCATTGTAGTGACGGACAGATCGACCTTTTCGCGTCAACAAAGACAAGAAAATTTTCCACGCAGTCGGCGATGTATTATTTCTCAGCTTGGCTGCTAAAAAAATCGACGCTTTTCGCTGAAAATTTAACTTTTCATCATTAATCGAAAACTAATTCGTGCCTAACATTCGGACTGATCCTTAGTAAAACGTGTCGGGTTTCTTTTTGCTTTGGAGGAGAATCGAGACATCTTTTATGGGTTTAGAACTGGTATGGTTAAAACTTGAATAAAAGTTACTCTGATCTTCGTAAAATATTTATTATCCAATTGTGTTTTGGCGAGAAAAGTATCGAAAAGTCGTTTTCCGATGTGTTGTGTTTGTATCTTGCACTCCAGGAAAATTGTCTCTTGCAAAGTGTTTAATAAAGAAATTAAAGGTCAAAACTAGGTTATAAAATTGTAAGCGTGTTTACTTTTAACATTTGGTAATGTAATACTAGAAAATGGAGAAAATTTGCATAAGGAAAATTGTATTTTGACATTTTCCAAGAAGTAACCTACGGTTACTACCTTTTCGCCTTATTTGCCGTTTCCGGGAAACTGGGTACAAACTATCCCATACACCTTTTGGGTACTATCAAATCAAATATGGCGGATGAAGGTTGCCTAAGTGAATGTAAACAACAAATTTAGAAAGGGTATGTAAGGTCAGTTAAAAAAAATGCCCAGTGAAGAAGACTCTGATAGTGACGTACAACAAGGAGCGACGTGGGAGCATCAGTCCTTGGCACAGGTATGATCAAAACAAACACTGTCAATGACAAATCACGGCTTTTGTTTGTCTCGATCTGTAAGACATTACAGCATGGATAACTTTTGATAAACAAATTAACATATGCGTCATAGTAATTGTAGCGGAATGTGTAATAAGAAAATTTTAAGACTCGATCGCAAAATTGAGATGAAAACCTAGTCACCCCTTTTCAGTGACAAGAGAAATAAGAATACCAGATTCATTTTTTGACAAAGAGCCAAGTATAATTCATGTTGACAATTTTCAGTCTTTTCATAGGAAAAATATGAACAAAATAACATAGTTGTAAGATTTTTTTTCTCTTAAGACTTCCCTGGTTTGCATCGGGTAAGCAAATATTGAGCCAGAACCGTTTAAGGTCCTAATAAAGAGAAGAAATTGAACAGATTTTGCAAAGGAGATTAACTTAGTTACTAAGAAAATAAGTTTCTTCTCCATCCTTTAAATTCCTCTATAGGTTAAGATAAAAGTTCTAAGAGGACATAAAGATGCTGTAAACAGCTGTTCATTTGCCTTTGAGGACTCCAAAATAGTTACAGCTTCACATGACAAGACTCTGAGGCTTTGGGTGGGTTTTTTTCATCCACTTACTTCTGATTCATTTTATTTAAAAAAAGGTGTAGCCAATTTCATTTATTATTAACTTATTAGTGGTATTTTAAATTATTATATGTTTTTACATTTTTTTCTTTTTGATAATAGCTAGGTTTAATGAACAATCTTGTATATATTTTTTGTAAATATTTCTGTAAACATATTTAATAGAAAGGTTCAATTAACAATTTTGTATATTTTTGTGAAAAAATTTCTGTAAACATTTTTAATAGTTAGGATTGATTTATAACTTTGTGTAGATAATAGGTAAGTCCACATCAGCTATTTTAGCTGCCACTTTTCGCCCTACCTTAACTATTAAACTCCCATGAGTGACCAAGACAGAATTTCTCCTTTCAATATCAATACAAAATCAACCAGGTAGGTAATGAGTATAAAATAAATTTAAGGATAATCAGTTGATCCAGTACTAAATTCTCTGTACTAACATTATAAGAATTATATAGTTGACAGTGAGGAGAGTTACAAATTTGATCTAGTCCAAGTTATGTTGGGAAAACAAGGTGAAATATGCATTACCCATTTATCATAATTACATAATTATGGAATTTGCAGCTTATCCAATGCTTGGGAAGGTAAAGAAGGTTGTAAAGGTTTTGGTTCCTCTTTAATGTATAATTATGTTACAAAAATTTTCATCATCTTGAAAAGGTGCACATATTTGATATCCAAGTTGTATTGGCCTTTTACAATGAAAGACTAGTGTAATCACATCTACATGTGTAATACAATCACCTACTATGTTGAAATAAGATTGTCTGGGTATGAAAGCTTGGTTTGGCTGCCTTAATTTCTGTATGCTTACTTTTAATAATTCCATAGTTCCACACACATTGTGATTAAAAATGCATACTTTAACATTCTTTTTAACTTCATGTACACTTGTGTACTTTTTTTTAGGATGCCAATTCTGGAGCTCAAGTCAATGTCTTTAAAGGTCACGATTCCTATGTTACATGCTGCCATACAGACCCAAACAATGCCAGGTTTGATGAAAGTTGAAATACTTTTTCTTTAAAAAACACTGTTGGAGGGGGCTAATGGATGATTTAGCTTGCTATGTTACACTTGTTAGCATCTATCCTTGTGGTTAGATCCTAAAAATGCACTGTTTATTTTAAAAATTAAAATGAATTGGATTGTGTCCTTAGCAAACACATATCGTTATTTTCTGGAGATTCAGTAAAAGAGCTCTCAGTATCAATATATCCAGGTGAACTATACTATTAATATGTTATACTTGTGGTCTAGGATAGCTTCAGGTGGATGGGATAAAAGGCTTCTCGTCTGGGATATTCAGACTGGTACAATTCTGGTGAGCATACTGAAACCCAATTTAAACCTTAATAGCAGTAAATATATATACACCATCCTGTTCTCTATATTTAACAAATAGATTCCAAGTTGCTGTGCGTCTGTTCAGTAATAGATCATAGATGACGTCAAAATGTGGTAAGAACAAAAAAGTGGCACAAGAGGCGCAGTCGAGTGTGTCACTGATGTTCTTACCACATTTTGACGTCCTCTATTATCTATTACTGAACAGACACATGGCAACTTGGAATTTATTTGTTAAATATAATAAAGAATTAAAAAAAGTTTTAATGATGACGTCATCTATACATCTGTCCTCCAATAGATCATAAGTGAGAACCAATCAGAATGCGTGCATATTTGAGCTTATTATATAAATTATTACCAACAATGAGAATTTGTCAAATCATCAATGGCTTTATTTAGCAGTTTTTTCCATTTTCTCATGTCCTTAATGTTTGATTCAGTGGTTATACTGTAAGGAGAAATATGGATATGCTAGTCACTCTTAAGGGATTAGAGAGTTATTGTATTGCATGAAACAACCACTCAACTCTTCTCATTTAATAATACAGAATACCATGATGAAAGTAAATATAAAGAGAGGCCTGCGGTTGGTCAGCATGAGGTTGCAAGAAATTAGTGCAAGGCCATGCACTTACCGTTAACTGGGGTGTCTATGGCAAAAAGAAAATTACTTTGGACTCAAATTAATTGTGGGGAGACAGCCAATTCAGGCTTTTAACTCAATCCTGAGTTTCTTGTTAACAAGAGAAAATTGAAGGCAACCCATCTTGTTTGATAAGTCTTTTTATTAGTTGTCCTGTCATCAAAGTGGTGAGGAGTTTTTTTTCAATTGTTGAACAGATGAGGCACTCATTCACTGATTTTTTACTTTTGTTTATCTAGTGGGAAGCAATGAATGAAGGTATAGTAACATCATGTCACTTCTCTCATGATGGACGTTACCTTGTCAACAGTAGTGACTTGGATTTTGCTGTCAGTGTGTGGGATGTCAGGGAAGGATCTCTCATCAAGAAACTTTTCAGTGAGTAGCATGATTGTTTTTTGCAGTGGGAGTCGCATGTTTGTGCCTTTAAGGAATTTGTATCACTGAGGATTATTTTATAAACATAAAAACATAAGGAGTCTATTGGAAAATGCACAGTGGGTAAAATTAGTAAGACACTACATCTTTTAACTGAGTTGTCTTATTTTCCATTACATTGCTAACAAACATATTGGTGACACTCTTTTGTGTTCTAATTTGCATTGTTTTTCATGGTGAAAACAATCAGTAAAGAGTGAAAATCAATATCTCTGTGAAACTGATGGAAAATCCTGCTCTGATGAACAAGGAAACACTAAATATGAAGAACATTCCATAAAACTCAGAATTATTCGAGGATTTTGTCCACAGTAAATAATAAAGGAAAGGAATTGAGAAAACGTATCCATTGACATGTAAGAATTTTTTATAGAGTTTATGCTTTGTTTTTCTAGTCAAATTTATAAAAAGGGATGTTACCTGGTAACTTAAAGATATTTGCTTACTCTGAGGGCTTTTCCATTAGATATTGTCTTCAACACTGCATGATAAAAGAAAATTCACATCTTTAGACTTCAGGATGGTTTTCTCTACATAACCATTTAAATTTTTGTGATCAGATGTGCAGTATTTAAATCTCTAGGAATAGTACAAGTATCTCTTAAATATTTCATTTAGTTTCTCCTTATGGTCACCTTCACTATCAGATCACAAGAGTACAGTTACATGTTGTCGCTTTGCTCCAAGCCAAAACAGGATTTGTACAACCTCCATGGACAGAACAACAAAGATCACAGACATGCTTACATTTACAAATGATTATAATGTTACTCTTACAATGGGGTGAGGCTTACAAGTCAGCTTTGAGGCTTCATATATCATATTATGTACTAAATAATTATTACTAACAGTAGCTATGAATTAAGTCTTTAGCTCCCCGATCACAAAACTAATTCACTTAACTGCTGTGAGCACATTTCGTTGTAGGTTATTTAAATAATTTGATTTTATTGCAAACAATATCCCCTGGTATTATACTGCAATTCACATAACCTTTCTGTTTGATGGTGAAATGAAATTGTAAGGAGAATTTAAGTTTTCATAACTCTTTGGAATGATAGGGAACTCTTTGTTAAGTTCATCTTGGTAGTATGACTGCTTGTCATTACAATCCAATTTTCATAGCTGGACAGTGATTGCATTAAGTCTGCTACACCTCTTAGCATGTTAGACAAATTGCTAAGAAATTATGTGTATGATACTCTGCCCACAATGTCTTGTTTACTTATTCACTGATTCCATGGTGCATCAATTAGTTGATAATTTAGCTCATTTTTTATCTCCAGGGGACATATCAATGTTATCTCCAGCTGTTCCTTCAGCGGTGATGAACACTTATTGGCCACAGGATCATGGGATAAAAATATTAAGATATGGGATCTTGCCACTGGTGTCTATAGGTACCAAAGCGCTGTTTGAATAACTGTATTATACAAGCATTATATTTTAGGGTCCTTTATCAAGCAAATAGTTATGTTGTGTAGTAGATGTAAGGAGGATATCCTCCATGTCTGAATTTAAAATAGCCCAGGTCATAGAAATTTTGAGGAAGAATTTTGTGATTTGCAATTCCCAATAGACACCTTGAAAAAGCCTAGGTGCATTGCTGGGGTACTTCATCAGAATGTACCATTTGGAGAGAGAGGGGGGGTGGAAGAGAGTAATTTATAATTGTTCATGGTTTTATCAAATATTTATCCATAAAGTATAAATAGGAAAATACTAGAAGGCCATCCTTATCAATACATTTTTTTTAATGTTTCTTCATAGCATGAGTAAGGCAAGCAATTTTTTTTTAAACTCTCTCTTACTTTATTGAAACTTTACCTTTGAAAAACACATCAAATAAAATATGTCATGAAATAGTTTTGTTACATGTACTTTGTGATCTTATGTTCCTTAGTTTTAATTTATTTCTAAAGTTAAACCTGTTTCATTAACCAGGAATCATGGACCAATCACTCTCTCCAAAGGACATGAAGGTTCTATCAGTGCATGCAACTTCAGTGAAGATGGTGAGTTGGAAAATTAATCCTGTTTTGTGTTTCTGTTTGATCCATGCCTTATTAATTAATAAAATTATTATTTTAATTGATTCCTGGTACTAGATTAAGTACATTCTGCCCCAAGATGATTATGGATGTTATATCAAAAATACTTCAGTCATACAGTTAATGGTAATTGATGATCACTTAACTTGATTTTATTTTTCATTTTCACTCATTCAATGTTTCTGTGATGTTGTCTTCATTGCAGGTGGCATATTAGTTTCTTCATCATATGATGAAACTTTGGTTATATGGGATGTTGAAAATTGTTGTCAGAAATTTGCCCTCAAGGTATTTACACATCATTTTAACCCTTTCACCCCTACGAGTGATTGGTATCCAATTTCTCCTCACCATGTCACCCCTGAATCAAACATTAAGGACAGGAGAATAAAGGAGCTGATCATCAACTAAAGAAGCTCTTGATTGTTAGACAAATTCTCCATGTCTGCATCTTAAAACAGTGTGTAGATAACAGTATGGAGAATATGCATTATTTCTCACTAGACTTTATGTTACTTTCAATATATATATGTTTTACAATTATAGTAAAATAAGTTCAAGTAAGATTCCAGAATGTTACTTGCTGGGTTAATTTGTAATTTGCACTTACAGATATTTAGAGCAGCACTGCAAGTACTTTCCTTTCCTCTGTTTTGAGTTAAATTAACATAATTCAAATGGGAATAGAAAGTTAATATTTTATCATGTGACCCATACAGGCTCATGTGCACTCTTATGTCAAACTTTTAGTAGAGTCATAAAATGCCATCAGTCCTATGTACAACCCTGGAAGAAGGGAAAGGCAAGAAGAAAGGCAGGACAGACAACTGAGGGGTTGTCCTATGATCAAATGCTTATTTACTGGGTTGGATAGAGCCGGAGGGAAAAAATCTTGAGCTCCTGGTCATGAATTATAAACCTTGCTGTGCTCCATACATCATTACCTTGCGCTATGAATTATATAGCATGTTAAACTGACTATTTCCTGGTTTTTTTCAGGGTCACACAGGATGGGTGAATGACTGCAGATTTAGCACAGACCAGAAATGGATAATATCCTGCTCAAATGTTAGTGTGTTATACTTTTAAATGAAGGGCTTTCAGGATTTTTAACAAGGTTTTCATTCTAAACCAAAAACTTCCCATTCACGTAGCCTCCTGGCCTTATAATTGTAATCAATTTCATTGTGGGTTAATTATCATGTTTTTGTATCATTTTTTAAAGTACAAGAGCAGATTAAGTATTATTCTTAGGTGGTTGATATTATTTAGCTTGTTAGTGTTTTACCCTGAACAAGAGAGCAAACAAAGTTTCTAGCTTTAATTGTGTCCAACCAAATTAAAATAACAGCCTCAGAAGGATTTCAAGTTTGCATGAAAAAACTGTTACTGTGAATGGAATTCAAAGTAATTATTATTTATTAATTTTTGTATTTCAGGATAAAACTGTGCGTATGTGGAACATTGAATCAAGTGATGATATACCAGTGGTACTAGAACACAGAAAGAACATTGGGTTAAGAATTGTCCAGGTTTGTTCAACTTTTTATTGTTTACATTTTTATACAGTTGGGTTGTGGAATATATTCCTAAATGAAACAACATGAATTTGTTTTACGTTTGAGTGCCTATTTATGGTGCCTTTCAATTTTTAAGTGACCAGGGTTTTACCATTTTTTGGTTTGCAGTTTTTGTACCATGTCATTGGTTCAAACCCTCAAAGTGTTCTTTATTCCTTTTACTTTCAGTGTCAAAATTGCAGCAAGCCTTTCTCTATTGCACAATTGGATGATGAACAAAATCACAAGTACTGTGTTTTCTGTCGCTTGGAGCACCCTTCAGAATTCTCAGCTTCACCAATTGACTTCAACATGTGATCTTTAGTCAACCATGAGATGAAGCAATAAAGACAAAGTGTTGCTGCCGTGAACATTACAATTCAAATCTCTATAACCATGAAAGATTTTAAATAGTAGTATCCTCCTACATCCTTAACTCTTTTTTAACTCTCAGGAGTGATTAACATGTAACTTCTCCCTACAATATCCTTGTCATCCAGCAAACAAGTAATGGGAATACTCAAACTTATCAGATAGAAGTTGTCATCTTGATCTAACACCAAATTCTCGTAGCTAATTGACAAGGAAATGTGTAGTAGCTAGGGGGGAGAATAAATAATAATCAGAAGTTGGGAGCTGAAGGGTTAAGGCAAAAACTGTAATATTTCCCTTGTGTGTTAGATCAGGTACCAAGACAAATTCGATTCATGTACTCATTGCAATTAAGATTTTAAACTTACAAATCAATAACAGAACAGAACTAGACAAGGTCATATTTATTTTTTCTTATATTTTAATATAGCTCTAAGTTATTGAACCACGTTGTAAATAGTCAAAGCAATGGTATTTGTACAAAATTGACATGTTCTTACTTGACTTTTGCAATTTCATACTGTGGATGAGACATTGAAACATTGTAGTTATATTATACCAACATTTTTCTGCATTTTATTAATATACCTGTATATTACACTGTTATTTCCTTTATCTGTAGGTTGAAACTGTATACATTAAATGGCAATAATGTATAAACTTTTAAAAGCATTTTAGGATTTTATTTGTCTTTACAGAGCCTTACCTAAACACAAGGGGCTTTGGCAGAATTTGAAATACTTATGCAAATGGAAGGTATTTTTGATGGATTGGTTAACTTAGCCCTCTGCACTTAACATCAGTAAGCATATTCTCAATATTGTTGCTAACAAGGAGAATTTGTTTGACAATCAGGAGCTTCTTTAGTTGGTGATCATTTCCTCTATTCTTGTGACCTAAATGCATGTTGTATAGAGAAATTGGATGCTTTTTAGGGTTAAAGGGGTTCTCCTGGCCTCCATGAGTGCATAGATAGAGCTACGCAAACACATAAAAAGTCTTCCTTTGCTTTTACAAAATATCAAGTTGCTCAAAAATATCTACAATCCCAAAACTTCTTCGCATTTTAAACTTACTTTCATTTGAACACAACTATCAACCAATGAGAGTGCAATTAGTATTTCATTTATTTTATTATAAATGTTACAGCATTAATTTTTGTTTCGGCTGTAATCTATCTCACCTACTGTATGTCCTAGTGAACATTGTGATGATATTCTTCTGTTTCAATTGTCCTCCCAATGTTTACTCAAACAATATACATCACAACTGGTTCCAAACCTACATCACTGTTAACTTTAACTCCCAGTAGTGATTAACATGTAACTTCTTGCTATAATATCATTCATTATCCAGCAAACAGGTAATGAGAAAACTCAAACTTATCAGGTAGAATTTGTTATCTTGATCTAATACCAAATTCTTGGAAATAATTTACAAGAAAATGTGTAGCAGCTTGAGAGTTAAAGGGTTAACTCTATTTTATTTTACACAATAAGTTTTTTCTTTGGGCAATTGTCTATATGATTGTATGACCAAGAAAAGAAACAATCAAAACTTTGAAGCTTGCCACATAGAATTTTTTCTTTTTGCCTACTTTTGTGAGCTATGAATGAACTTACTGAATGCAAAGTCTGTTTTGTTGGGGGTAACCAGTTTGTGATGATTTTTATTAGATAAAGATGATTGATCACACAAGAATAAACATTCTCTTTACAAAATTCTTCAGCCTTCTTCTAAATCTTGTTTTATTCCAAAACCTACACTACACTATTTCTCCTATTGTTTCCTTGCATTTGTAGCTGAAAAAAAGTCTTTTATTTGCAGTGCATTTGCATTACCCACCACAGTGGCAAGGGACTGAAACAAAACGTATATTATATATTAATATCTCAGAGCAAATGTTATTACATGTTATGATCAGAAACTGCAATAGTACAGACATCCCAAATTTAACATAAAAAACTTAAAAACAATGTACTGCTCCTGCGCCACTCATAGTTTACACAACAAAGTGTTCAAGAATAATTGAAAATAAAACTAACAAGTGATCAAGTAACTTACTGCAACTGAAGCTTTACAGATTTGTTCAATACCTAAAAACCAAGATGGAGAAAGTTTTAAGTTAATTTGTGTATTGAAAAGCAATATGTTTTTTTTCCAATAAGTGCTCTATGAGAGCATTATTTATACTGTTCAGCCTTTCAGGTTTTTGGGATCAAAGAAAGTTTTTACTCTTTCAAGATATTAAAGGGCAAGGCATGACATTTACCACAAAGTACAAATGACAAAAATTGAACAAAATGCCATCTGCTCTCAACATTTACACTGTATGCATGAATGTGAAAATAGGTGTAGCAGCTGTGAACAATACTTTTTTTTATTAAGGGTAGTTTGAGGATTACAAGAAAATTGGTTAAAATCAGAGATTGCTTTTGTTATTGCTCAAACATGCCATTATTACTGTATGTTGTTTTTTTCCCGAAAAAATCCTAAATTGCACATATTAAGAGAAAACCAGTTCAAAAATTTTTGTTATAACACTAAGAAGCCAGAAAATACCTACTGTTGAATTTAGATAATAAGGCCACAGCTTTTTTCTGTCCTACTCCTGGTACATTCTGTAGAGTTGTAAGTACAGCTTGATCTGTGGCTTGTGGTTTCATCTTAATGCGGTAAGGGTTGCTTTGGGGTTTACTTTCCAACAAAACCTGGAAAGAAGTTTTGGACCTCTTAGCAAATCAAAGCAAAGTTTTCAATCTCTTATTTTACACAATAAATAGCAATTGCATGTACAGATTAAAGGAAAGTTACCTCCAGTTACCAACAGGTTTAAAATTTATACTTACACTGATATTTCAGTTAAGGATGCAGTGCGCATCAAACATTGCAATTACCAGGACAAACAAAGGGTAACTTGGCCTTTAAAAAAGTTACAATTTTGTTGATTTCCCAACTCTCCCTACAGTCATGTAAATTTGACCCAGCCCTTCCTTCTTAGTAACTCACCATTTGAGCTAAGATTCTGCCAGCTTCAACAGGTGATGCTACAGGAAGAAGTACCAGTCCTCTCTCCATTACAATGAACTTCTGAAGTTCATAAAAGTACTGAGAGCTAAGTGATGTCTTTTCAGCAATTATTACTTTTCTGAATGATGCCTGAAATTCAAAGGAATGGCATTTCATTTTGATAATAGCATCCTGTCCAAATGATATCCTGAATAAAATATTTAGGGGCAGCAGGGATGGCACAGTGGTGAGAGCACTCCCCTTCCACAACTGTAGCCTGGGTTCACTTCCAGGACCTGATGTCACATGTGGGTTGAGTTTGTTGTTGGTTCTCATCCTTGCTCTAAGGGTTTTTCTCTGAGTCATCCAGTTTTTCTCCCTCAGCAAAAACCAACATTCCAAACTCCAACTTGACCTGGAACAGTGGATGGGAAGAGCCTTGTGGATTGTCCACTGCTAAATCATTGTTATTATTATTATTATTAATTAGATAATGTTAAATAATAATACTGTTATACCTTTCCAAATTTGAGCAGTTTCTCTTTGTAATTGTATCCACCGACCAGATCTGCTTCAGAGAGATAAACCACACCAACATCTGATGATGGGTTGAAATCCACCACTCCCATGGAGTCATCCATTTGAATATTCACATGATTTTCTGTCAAGATATCACTTAAAGGATTGGTCATTCAGCTAGTAAATAAGTAAATTTCTCCATTTGTTGGTCAGCCTGCAAGTTACCAGTACTATTCAGTCAGTCTATCAGTCACTTAGACAAGCAGTCAGTTAACCCTTTACACCCTAACATCATTATGCATATTCTCCATACTGTTCTCTATACATTTCTTAGGTTGTTGACAAGGAGAATTTGTTTAACAATCAAGAGCTTCTTTAGTTAGTGATCATTTCCTTTATTCTTGTTACCTTAATGTTTGATTCAGGGGTGATATTGTAGGGAGAAATCACATGCTAGTCACCCTTTGGGGTCAGTCAATCACTTACAGTTGGGTAGTAAGTCAGTCAGTCAGCCAGCCTAAAGGTTAGTCTGATTGGCAGTGAGTTAATCAGCCAGGCATTTGGTCAATCAATGAGTCAATTGCACAGACTGTCAGTATGCAAGTTATTATGCAGTCAGTCCATCAGACAGTCAGTAAGTCAGTGGGCCAACCAGCCAGTCAATTAGTTCATAAATAAGTAAGTTAGTCAGACAATCAGTGAGCCATCCAGGTATTCTGTTAATTGGTCATACAGTCAGTTAGGTGATAAGTTACTGAGTCAGTCATCCAGGCAGGCAGGTATGCAGTAAATCATTCTGTAAATCTACCAGCAATTTTAATCACTCATGAAGATAACCCACTGGTTGATTGGTTGCATAATTCAGAAAGTCAATCAGCCAATTATTTCTTAACCATTCATTCCAACAATCAAAATATTAGTCCATTGGCCATTTACATTCAATCACCTAAGTAATAATTATTATGACTGAAAAAAAGTCAAACAATTCCATGTGAAATAAATTAATAAAAGCTTCCTGGCTGATTCTAAACTGCATTAATCTCTGGGTTATTATAGTGCTGCGAATGTAAGCTAAAAGGGGATGAGAAACATCAGCAGACGTGAATTTCATCCGTGTTGTTTTTACATTTTTAAATTTTGGCGCGAAATACCCGCGAACCATCAATATTAAACTAAAAAAACATTCGAGTCGTTACCTTGTAGGGTTTTCACAACGTCACTTTCATGAAATCTTTCATTGACAAGAATGTGTCCGGGAAGAATACAGGCACCATGAAGCCTCGGTTGAGTTGGAGTGAATTGAGACGACGAAAGCGCCGCCCTACTGGACGCCATATTGTTATTTCGGTACTTCCGTGACCAGCGGTAAAAAACGTAGAAGCAAGCGCAGACAAATTTGCGCATGAATTTTGAAATGCTTGTTTGTAAGTGGAAGACATTTTGGTAAATAATTCCATATTCTTGCTCCATCAAAATGAATGTTGCTGATTTACTAGCATTTCAGGTATTTGAATTGTTGTTTTGTAGGAGTTGATGATGCAATGTCTGTTATTAACATTGTCTAGCACCATATATTAATCTCAGACTTAATCGGAGGTACAAGAAGCAACTTCTTAAATTGTTTAAGAGAACACGAAACCTTTTCCGGTTTTCAGATTTGAGTTTTATATCTCTGGAAAGTTAAATCACTTGAAGATTTGCGTTTTGGTTTAATTGTATCCTCATATAAGAGATTCTTTTCTCAGTCTTTGGCATGATACTGTTTTGTAATGAGAGTGAAACTTAAAAATACTGAACTCCGAAATTAGAACCAAGACTAAAATCGAGCTTCAACATTTATCCTTTGTCTGATTTCAACACAGTTGCAATTAAATAATCAATGACCCATCATAGCACTTTCAGAAATTCACTCTTGATAGTTTCACTTTCCCCCTGCCCTTCCCCCCCCCCCTGCCCTTTCCCCCACCCCTCCACCCTCTATCCTATGATTAGGGTTTGGCATTCAAATGTTGTATGTTGTGGTAGAAAATTTTCACTTGAAAGGTTTATGAGATTGTTTTATTTGTTTATCTGTTTGTGATAGCCTGAGAGAGGAGCCAAGAGAAAAAATGATGAGGAGGATCAGGTGTCCATTAATACAAAGAAAAGACCAATGGCTGCGGACAGGCCAACAGGTTCTGGTCTGTCTGAGGAGGAAAGATTGAAAATATTGGAAATGGTAGAAAATGAACCAGAGGTCAGTTTTGTCTATTTGAAGGATCAGAAATTTAGAAATTTGTTAGTGTCAACATAACAAAATGGTGCAATCAATGGATAAATTTTTCATAGATTTTTATCTTAATTTATCAATGCTAAGTGGAATTTTTTGTTTCTCTTTTCACTTTTCATCTGTAGCATAATTTTCTTTTTTTTTCTTTTTGAAACTTAGATGGAAGCTCTTGATGTAGGTTCTCTGAAGAGGATGCTTCTGCTCTTTGAGAAAAAAGTTACAAAAAATCAAGAAATGAGGATAAAGTACCCAGAGAATCCAGAGAAGTAGGTCTTATTACCTTTTCTCTAATTTGTTTCAGTGAGATCAACATTTTTTAACTCTGCATCCTATTTAGTCAAAAAATTATTAGAATATATTTACCCTCATTAAATTTATTATGGTTGTGTGATCCTCTCAATGTTTTCCAACTCTCATGGATTAACTAGAAGTCCCCCAGATATATAATGCAGTTCCTGGCATTTGGATATATTTTGCTCCAAAAAGGGAAAATCAGGTATATTTTTAAGCAAAAAAAGGTTTGGGGTGTTAGATGGAACTGCAAAAAGGTCTTTGAAAGATGTCAAATAGGTTTGTTACAAAGGAATAACTGTGTTTTACATGATAAAGAAGTGTAATTTTGTTTTATTCTTGACAGGTTTATGGACTCAGAGCTTGATCTGAATGATGAAATTCAGAAGTTACATGTTATAGCCACAGTTCCACATCTCTATCAGCACATTGTAGATGTTAATGCTGTTGGAACCATCCTAGGCTTGTTGAGCCATGAGAATTCAGGTGAAAAATATGGATACTTTGATGGTACCAAAAGACTGAAAGATTTATAAGTTTTCCTCTTTCTTTTTGATGCAATAGTTGCATAATTTTCATTTTATGACTGTACGTAACAAGGAGCATCTGGTTCATCTTCCTTGACCTTTTGACCCCTAAGAGTGACTTGCATCTAATTTCTCCTTACATTATCACCCCTGAATCCAACATTAAGGTCACAAGAATAAAGGAAATGATCACCGATTAAAGCATCTCTTGATTGTGAAACAAATTCTCCTTGTCAGCACCTTAAGAAAAGCATCAAGAGCAGTATGGAGGATATGCATACTGATGTGAGGGTGTAAAGGGTTAAATGTAAGAATCAAAGGCATTATTCATTTTAAACTAAAAGCCTGTCCTTTTTGTCAGTGATTTTTTGCCACTCTTGTTTTTAGGTGTTATTTATTGGAACTATGGATTAATGAAATAGTTTATTCAAAGTCAACACCAGACAGTCTATATGCCTGAATTAAAAACCATAAGACTTCTAAAAAGTACAGAATATGATAATGAGGATACAATGAAATGGTAGACACATATGTTAAAAACTATTAACATGTTGTAATTTGAACTATGGATGATAATAAAGGGGTTCTAAAATGGTCAGTTTGACAGACTGACATGTTGAAAAGTCTCATGTAGTGTGCCTGTTGTCAACAGTGACTTGCTTTCAGATTCAGTAGCCTGGCAAGTTTGTGGTGTTCTATAGCTATAATAATTACCATTGAATAGGTTCTTGCAGTGTATGCACAGCTGTAGCTGATCATGCCTATCAACTTGGGTGGGGATTCTGGCTTCCTCAAATTCGTTTCCATACCCTGTATGGGGTAAAACTATCACTGCCAACTTGTTCTCTCTCAATATCTCTAGTCTATTGATCCTAATATTGATAAAATAATGATATTTCCAACAGACATCTCTATAGCTATCATTGATCTATTCCAAGAAATGACTGATGTGGACACACTTAATGAGAGTGAAGAGGGTGCTACTGCTCTTATAGATGCACTTGTAAGTCCTTAGTCTGTGCTATTTTCTGTACTGGAGTGCTTTTTCAAATTGTTTCTAATGATAGATGCTGATGTGTCTGCTTTCTCTTTAGCTTGAAGGGCAAGTGGTTGCTCTTTTAGCCCAAAATCTGGATAGACTGGATGAAAACATCAAAGAAGATAGTGATGGTGTACACAATACATTAGGTTTGTGCAAATAACTCAAACAGAATCATTAATTTCTAGAAGACTCTATTCAATTGAACTAGGTTTTCTTTACTGTCGTATACCTGTATTTCTGTTCACATTTATGATCATTGTCCATTACTAACTGCCACTGAATTCCTTTCTTTGCTCCAAATATCAACATAAGGTTTCTTTACAAGATTGTAGGCAGTGTTGTTTAATTTTTATGTGTTTTCTCTCTGATCAGGAATCATAGAGAACATGACTGAACTCAGACCTTCAGTATGCCAGGTGGCAGGTGAGCAAGGAATGCTGGGATGGCTTCTCAGAAGACTTAAGGTAACTTATCCAAATCAACTTTAAATGCAGTTTATTCTGATTATATGAGGGTGAGTATCTCATTCTGATTATTTTTGTCTTTTGTTGTCTGAATTTATTTTAGCAAAAGCCTCCTTATGATGCCAACAAACTTTACTGCAGTGAAATTCTCTCCATCCTTCTTCAAAACACAGAAGGTAATGATGATTGAAGATGGTAATAATTAATAAAATAATCATTAGTTGCTAGAGTAGTTGATTTATGTTGATCTCCAAGCTTATTTTATCAGAAACTAATCAAGACTTTATGTACACTAAATAGATTATTTTTCATTATATTCCTAAGAAACAGTACTTAAAAGTAGTTTTGTGGATTACCCTTTGCAAAATTTGAAATTTTGTCCCTAAAGACACAAAAGAATGAAGGTATGATCAACATCTTGAGGCCAATTTTATCATCTTGTCGCCAATTTAAAAAGGAGAATCCTAGTTTTTTCTTCCTGATCCAAAACCTTTAGAAAATGCCTTGCTTCTGTTGAGCTTTGCAAATAATGGACAATATATGGGCTCTTTCATGAGAGAGAGTACACTTGATCCATAATGAATAACATTTAATTCATTGAAAAAGATGGAAGCAGTCTCCATATGTACATGTTTTTTAGAAATTTATACATTAAAATAAGGTTGTTTTCTCACCAGAAAACAGACAGCTTCTTGGAGAACTTAATGGAATTGACACACTACTACAATGTCTATCAGTAAGCCCCTTTTAGCTCAATATCATGATAATGCTACCGGTATTTTTAATAATTTGTTTGAGAGCCACATTGCATCTACTATGAAGAATCTGTTAGCTCTGTGTAGAAATGCTTAAGTAATTCTAATATTTAGCTGATATCATTACAGCTTTACAAGCGATATGACCCTACCTCATCAGATGAATTAGAGTTTATGGAAAATCTTTTCAACTGTCTGTGTTCCTCTTTGATGCACAATGCAAACAAAGATCTGTTCTTGAAGGGAGAGGGACTTCAGCTTATGATTCTCATGTTAAGGTAATTTTTTTAACACCTACTTTTTTTTTCCTTTGCTTTCCTCATGTTATCTTTCGTTTTGTTTGAGTTGAATGCCTTTAAACCAAGTCCCTTAGTTAATTTTCTGAATAAAGTTCTACTTTTTTCAAAGATGACTTGGAATGTTTTATTTTTTAGAGAAAAGAAACTCTCTCGTAGAAGTTCCCTGAAGGTGCTGGATTACGCCATGCAAGGAGCCGAAGGAGCTGAAAACTGCAGCAAGTTCATTGAATTCCTGGGACTTAGAAGCTTATTTCCGTTATTTATGAAGGTGAGGAACAAGTCGTCTAATTTCAGGAATTTAATAACGTTTTCCATTTGAGGGTAGGCCCTCATTATCAGCACAGCAAGACACACGTTCCTCCGCCCTCGAGAAGATTTTAGACGAGTCGGCGAGAGGTTTGCCAGGGACGTAGCACTATCAGTGCTAGACTCCTTGCAGACCTGTCGCCGACGCGCGTTCAAGGCCTCATACTTTTATCGCAGGTGATGAAACGCGTGGGCTATTTAGGGACTATTTGCCGCCTATCATCTTGTTGATCATGAATTTAAAAAAATTCCTGTCTAAGGAGGAAAATTGTGTGAGTGTTACGATTTTTGTATGCTTTTTATCTAAAGGGTTAGTCATGAATGTTCTTAAAAGCCCCTAAGTTAAGTATCAAACCAAATATTTTAGCAAAAGACTGTCATAAATACTACCAATAGTAATAGGTTTTAGGCCAGAATATTAATTAAAGTCTTAAAATGTTTAGTGTACATTGAGAAGAACTTTTGTTGGGTTTTTTCCTTTTCTAGCCCTTCAAGAA